TCAGGGGCAAATTAAATTGGTTTAATTTAGGGCTCATCCACCTTTTTGCTTGACCCATCTTTTGATCACAAAAGATTAATTCCCCTGGACCTGAGACTTTTTCTTGCTGCTCCATTGCTGGGCCTTGTGAAAATCTGAGCGCACCTGCTGAACTGAAGCTCTGTTTTGTGAAATATCTCTTCGGATTTCCCACGCACCTGATAAGATCCAATTCAGCAGGTAAGATTGGATTTTTGCAAGGCACAACTACAAAAGACAATAAGACCTGGGGAAATTTAATGGCACACAATGCGATCAAAAGACAGGTCAAGTGAAACTATGGGCGAAGCCTTGGTGTCTCCCTCATTTGTGCTAGTTAGGTGTTATGAGTTACATCCAGGCAGAGATCCGTTTTCAACCCCTTTTCTACCAAGCACTTGGGGAATTATCACGGACCCTAATTTAAAAGGGCACACACACATTTTTTTAAACAAAGCTACAATCAGTGTTGGGGGAGGGGTTGCAGCTGCCCACCAACAATCAGTTGTTCTGGGCAGCAGACTGAGCACCTGGTGACGGTCTCCCTGTTACTGTGAGATGCATAGTATTTCTGCTTATAGTAATCACCACACCTAAGGAGACCAAATGTGAAGAAGTATAGGGTGGCTTTATACTGCTATAGATTTGTGTGGGGTGGGGGTGGGGCTAAATGATAGGATTTTAATTATTTGAAGTGAAGTGTAGGTGGGTTCCCATGAGGCAAGACACAGTGAACTGCAAGAACCTTTATGGAACTACATAACTGGGAAACAGGGGCAAAGCAACTGCTTATATACATTTCTGAAAGCCTGGGCCACTCCCACTCCCAATGTGATTGGCTGTCTAAACTGCGAATCACGACTCAGAGTTCAAGGGCCAATGGCAGAGGTCCAAATCCTGAAATGTTCTGTGATTGGACAACATGTATTGAATCAGAACACAGAAGCTCAGAATCCTTAGTCCAGACTCAAGCTCAGGCAAACACAGACCACTGAATACCCCAAGTATTGTAGGGACAACAGGAGGTCGGTGGAAAAGTACAGGCTAATTTTTCTTTCCAAGTCAGGGACTAATCTGGGATTGAGCCATTAACATGACAAAAGGTGTTGATGGCCCATCCAAAAGGAATCTTGAGCCTGGGCAGACAGAGGTTGCCATGGTGATGGGGTGTGTGTTTGAGAGTCTTTTGAGCAATATGTGCTGGGAAGAAGGGCGAGATAAAAGACTAGGATCCATCTTTGGTAGGTTGGCTGAAGACTGGAAAGATGGCTTTGACTCCAGGGCTGCACTTCTGTGGTGAACAAGCCCCACTTGAACAAGCCCCATTTGCCGTGTCTCAATTCTCCAAAGAACATAGGCCCTGTGTCAGTGCCTGGAACCCCATAGACTTCTGCTGTTGCTTGACAGAGAGGAGGGCTAGCGCCCAGCTTTTGTAACAATATTTAACAGATGGGGAATTTCAGCCAGTGCAGCTTTGCAATGACATAATCACAACTGCAGCTTTTGCCAGCCTGCTACCCTCCAGATGTTTTGAATAACAACTTTCCATCAGCCCAGCCTAGAAGGTACCCACCCGGCTGGCAAAGGCCGTATATGGAGCGGTATCTCAGTTCAGTTGCAGGAGGGATGACTGGCGAAATGAAGGACTCAGGAGAATGAAGAAAGCAGAGAAATAAACACTGGAAGTTGGAAGGGAGGTGGTTGATCCTGGTAGACAAGTGTAGGGTGCATGTAGGGTACATAACTGCCATTGCACAGCTCTGCTCTCTTCTCTTTTTCATGCCTGGCATCCCAGTCCCCCAGGTCGCTTTCCTCTGGTGACTCCCTTCCCCACTAGGCACTGGAGAACTCCAACAACTTCCTCCAGGCTGTGTGTCACACTGAGCCACTTTTGTGCCTGCTGGAGGTGGCCCTTGACCTATTTGAGGCATGAGGAACATGACTCACACGCGTGGGGACTCCAAACAAAGCAAGTGAGGAAGAGATTAAGGGCTGAGTGCAGCCGCCTCCAGCCTCATGACTTTGTGATATCTTCCCTGCCAATCCCACCTTGCTTTCCTTTCAGTTCACTCCAGACAAAAGGACTTAAATTGGTGTGGGTGGGTGAGAGAGAGAATTTTCTCTTTAAGCACAAATCTGCCACAGCAGAGCGTATGCTATCACCACCCAGGGCAGATCTGTGACACGCAGGACGCACAGGAGCAAGGGCGAAGAGGGAGCCCAGTGGGGCTTTGCCAGCCCTCCCTCATGTGCCAGAGCCCAGCAGAGGAGAGGGACAGCAACACTGCTGCCGACTCTCCTCCTCTCCCGCCCCTGGGTCAGGCCTGACCCGGAGTGGAGCTGCGGCCAGCTGGTGGCGCTGGGCCATCACACAAGGAAGCTGCTTCCACCGGAGGCCCTGCCTAGGCACGGCTTCCTGCCCCACAGCTCTAGCCTTGATGAGGGAGCCTGTTGTGGGGGCGCCTGGTTGTGCCCTCTCAGAAAATGCATCCAGGGCCATGACCCCTGCAGCCCCTCCAGGCTACGCCACTGCAAACCTGATACTCTTTTCCCATGTGCCAGGGAGGTGACAGTGCCAAGCAGACTCTGTGTAAACATATTTCATCTGTAATCCACGCTCTTCCTACTCCTTGTATCACATTCTCCTCCTACTTGTCCATACTGTTTGCCTAGGTACTCCTGATAAGTGAGGGTCCACCAAACTAGAAATGATATTATTCGTGTATTTAAGGTTTGTCAGGTTTGTAAAAACAAACAAATAAATAGATTTGCAGGTGAGCACCCACTCTCCCCTGAATTGGATCAGGATTGTGGGGAAGCAAAGTGTTAAATTCTGCCACAGTCCTGATATACCACACCTATCTGAAAAAGCAAAACAAGCAGACATAAGATCCAAAGTTGTCTATTTGCTTTTTACACCATCTTCAATAACATTCAAGATGCTTCATAGAGGTGCAGAATTCACCTTGCGGCATTTCAGAGTGGGATATTGATATATCTTCCCCCTTTCTTTGAAAAGGACCCTTATGGCTAAGAATAATTCAACACAGGGATGAGTGGAACCCATGTGCAGAAGACATGAACAGGTTTTTTCAGTGCAAGTACATATATTACACACATACTGAGAAACTGTGCCCAATCTGAGTCTTCAAGAATCCACCCGAATGGAAGACTCTCAGAAGTGATGAGGAGCATGCAGATTTTGTGCTAATTCTACACTGAAACACTTTATACAAAATAATTCTGTAATATGCAAAAACCCCACAAAAAAACTCACAAATTTTAAAAATAGCTTTTCCTACATAGGTTCCTACATTCCCACTCAATTTATGTTCAAGATCAGTGCTGTTTCTAGAAAAAGAGGTGCCAGAACTCACCATGAACACCTCCCTTGTTCTCTTAGCAGGGCAATGGCGCTGACCTGAAAGGTGCCAGAACTGAGTTTCGGTGAGTTCCAGCTGAGAAAAGCTGTTTAAGATCAAATGTGTTTGTCATACATAGCTCCAGTGGATGGTGGGGTGCCACAATTCTCAGGTGTGGTGTAGTGGTTAGAGTGTTCGACCAGGAACTGAGAGACCAGGGTTCAGATCCTCACTCAGCCATGAAACTCCCTGGGTGACCTTGGGGCAGTCACTTTTTTTTAGCTTAATCTAACTTACAGGGATAAAATGCAAGGATAAAATGGGGAAGGGAAGGACCATGTATGACATCTAGACTCCTTGGAGCAAAGGTGAGATATAAATGCAACAATAAAATAAAATTTTAAAATGGTGGTCTCACTGACCTGTGGACACTGACCAAAATCTTCCAATAAAGGTACTGCATAACCTTGGCTCTGTCACCTTCGTCTTGGTGAAGCAGGGGTGAAGCAGTGACACACCTTTGAGAGTTGGAAGTTAATATTTTTCAGAAAAAATGTGGCATGTGCCTTGGCTTGCTTGCATGAGCCTGGAGCAAGACGTGCTGCAGCATGAGGTGGAAGAGCAAACTGCATCCCAGATCTGGTGTTTGGAGGCAAGTCCTTCCACTACATCATGATTCGGCCTGCCCTTGCGTGGAGCACACTTGTCCAGACTTTTAAGAAGCTAGCAAACCACCTGGCATCCCGAGTTCAGGCTTGTGCAAGACTTCGATAGTGTTACTGTGTACCTAGATCAGATTAGGTGGTGACATCTCCTGCCCCAGGTCTCAGACAAGCTCTGCACAGGTCTGCCTGAGTGTAAAGGAGGTTCTGGTGATAGCAGCTGTATCCTAGTCTGACCTGCTAAATTGCTGCCCAGGGACCTTATGGTGAAGGGCGGCAATAAAACAAATGAAGGAAAACCACAAATATAGACTTGTTCCCCTTTAACACGACTGAGTCGCAGTCATGCACTGTAGCAGTGGGGCAAGACAAATAGGACAGAAAAAGCTTCACTGCACTTTTCTTGTTTCTTCACTTGGATGCAATGCGCAAAGATTCCTCTAAAGGAGAACCTTTCCCCCCTCGAGGAAAAAAATGCCCTTTTTGTTTTTCTTTCATTGGTATGTATTTGAGCTCAGACTTTCCCTATCAAAGTGACTCAGTGTCAGTTGGTGACAACTGAGCACCAGAGTTTAAGGAGGATGTTGACAAGCTGGAATGTGTGCAGAGGAGGGCAACCAAGATGATCAAGGGTCTGGAAACCGAGCCTGATGAGGAACAGTTGGAGGAGCTGGATATGTTTAGCCTGGAAAAGAGGAGATTGAGAGGAGATATGATAGCCATCTTCCAACATCTCGAGGTCTGTCGCATGGAACAAGCTTGTTTTCTCCTGCTCTGGAGGGCAGGACTTGAAACAATGGCTTCAAGTTGCAAGAAATGAGATTCTGACTAAACATCAGGGAAAAGTTTCTGACAGTAAGAGCTGTTCAACCATGGAATGGACTCCCTCGGGAGGCGGTGGACTCTCCGTCCTTGGAGGTTTTTAAGCAGAGGCTGGATGGCCATCTGTCATGGATGCTTTAGTTGAGATTTCTGCATTGCAGGGGGCTGGACTAGATGACCCTGGGGGTCCCTTCCAACTCTACAATTCTATCGGCAAGCCAGGCATTCCCCGTCTTATATTCGTGCAGCTGGTTGTAGACAAAGCTTCTGAAATATGAGAGGTCCTTAAAAACAATGAATGGGTGGCACATCATCCACACAGCTACTGTGTCACTTGGGCATCTGATTGGTGCACCTCCAGTAGAAGGAAGAGAGGAGTGGAGGGAAATAAGGCTATTGGCCTGACAACATGCCTCTCCCCACCTCCCCTGGGTGTCAGGCTCAAGACCAAGTCTGATTGTGATTCCGGCTTGTGTTACTTTTTTAAGTAAAAGGTTCACAGTACTTTTCCATGTACAAAATGCTTCATAGTTGCTTTATGACTCATAGCTCATTGCTTCTGTATTGGATGTTCATAAAACACAAGTTGTGTGGTCGTCTTTATCTCTGTGACAAAGCTTTTTCGACTTACTTAGCTTGACGTTTCTTCTGCCCTCCTGGGTTCTATTTAGAAGCTGCAGGCACCCAGACCAGATAGTAGACAAGAATGCCCACCAGCAGGAGAGATAGCATGGCTATAGAAGAAGCAGCTACAACTATAGCTGTGCAGGATTCTGAAAGTGAGAAGAAGTGTAAGAGAAGAGGAAAGCAGGGAGGCGGGGCAGGCAATGTCCCTAAACATCAGCAAAGGTAACAGGCAAACTAAATGAGCAGTGGGGGGCTGTGGCCCTGCAGATGTTGCTGCAATGCATCTCCCATCAACCCCAGCCAGCATGACCAAGAGAGAAGGTTGATGGGAGTTGTAGTCCAACAACATCTGGAGGGCCAAAGGTTCCCCACCTCTGATCTAGATCCAAGGGAGAGAAAAAACACAAACATTCATCATATTGCCCAACTTAGACCAAGGTTCTCCGGAACATTAATGAGCAAATTGAATGCTTCAATTTCACTGTGTTCAACAAATTTGGGATCACAGTTCTCAAACAGTAAATTCAATGTCCCTTTATGTCCCACAAAATTAGCTCTGAACATGCAGTGAATTTAGAGAACGTTATTGCTGAATGGGCATATCTGATTATATGTCAGCATCAACTTTCAGTACCTGAAAAGTTATATTGTACTTTGGAGGTTGCCCTGCAAAAATCTGCTCTTTAAAGCTGAAGCACAACAAAGGGCAATTCAGATTTCCCCCAGATTGCCATTTACTCTGATTTAGCTTTAAAGAGTGGGTTTTCACAGGGAATACTAATACAAATTTTATTATTTATACCCCACCCATCTGGGCAGCTTACAGAATATATAAAACATAATAAAGCATCAAACATTAAAAACTTCCCGATACAGGGCTGCCTTCAGATGTCTTCTAAAAATTATGTAGTTCTTAATTTCCTAGGCATCTGAAGGGAGGGCATTCCACAGGGCAGGTGCCACCACCGAGAAGCCCCTTTGCCTGGTTCCCTGTAACTTTGCTTCTCACAGTGAGGGAACTGCCAGAAGGCCCTTGGAGGAGAGGAACGCTCTGGAGCAAAACACACACACACACAAAGAGTGCTTGGACATGGAGCTGTGCCTTGGAAAGTGTGGTGGGCAGGTAAGGGTGGGTAAGATGCTGGAGCGTGGCTGCCAGTCTGAATAGTAATTACAGAGCATGCTGGACACATAAGGCACTTTAGACACATGAAACCTTACGCTGCAACTCTTTACCTGAACTGTGCCCACTCACTTGCCCTTGTCACTCAGAGAAGGGAGAAGACAGTAGATGAGCAGCCTCCCTCAACCTGGCGCTCTCCAGCTATTTTGGACTACAGTTCCCATCAGCCTCAACTAGCATGGCCATGAGGGCCTGGGTGGGGGCTGATGTAGTCCAAAACACTTGCAAAGCTGGAGAAGGCTGGTTGGTTAGGAAGGAATCTGTTCTCTCATCAATGTATTTGTATTTGTTTGTGCGTTTAAATTATCTGTGGTAGCTATGCACTTATGCTACTTGAGGACAATGGTTCTTATACATTATGGTGAGACTGAAGCTGCACAATCCCAAAGTGGAGAAACTCACTTAAATGTTGCAAGCCCTAAGCTGAAGCATTGATTCATATAAAACAGTGGCTGGTTGGTTTGTTAAAAAGGTGACTCTGAGCACGTTATGCCTACAAACTCACCAGCTGTCCTGAGTGCCACCTTGCGGGATGCAGCAGTGAAGGGCTTTTTGTGGGGGCTGAAATCCAGCATCACGTGACAGGTAGCCGCCTTCCCATGGTCCCACGGTCCCAGGGTGATGGGGTGGGTGACTGTAACGTTGGCACGCTCAGGCCTGGTATAGTTCCAGAGTTTCTGTGAATGTAGCCTCTCTGCCCCTTTGAAGAAGGTCACTGTGAGCTTGCTGAGAGGGGCCACTCTTACAATGTGGCATTTCAGGTTATAGTGCCAGCTTTGGCCTGTGGAAGACTTCTGGAGCTCCATGATCACCTGCTCTGGAGGGTCTGAAATAACACATAAAGCAAGGGAAACATTAAGATTGCCAGGCAGCCTACTGGGCTTCCATGTTCCTCTTCTCTGTCCACTACGCTGCCAAGATCTGAATGCGTCAAACGCCTCTTGGCAGTGCCATCCTTGATTCACACTGAACTTGTTAGTGTTGACTACACCATCCTCATCAGAACTATGGGGGACAATGTGCATGTGCTGAAGATCATCTATGCTTTTTATTTTTTAAAGGATCTCTCGCCTGATGGTTTGCAGGTTTGTGATGGCCAATGGTTTTTAGCAAACAAATTTGAATCACTGTACAAATTGACCTAATCTGCACCTCCCAGAATATGCTTTGTGCAGATTGCCACCTTCTAAATGTGCTGGTGCAATTCTTAGTTCAAAAACATTACGAAAATAAATGTTAAAACTAGTATTGTAGGGCAGAAAATACATTTAGAATTGCCATTTTGGGGGAGAAAAAAACCTGTATTTAAATGCTAATTTTCATACTGATTGTTTTGTTTAAAATTATAGATTAATATGAAAATGGGACAGAACAGGTTTGTGAGTAGGCGTGTACAAAACTGACATGGGGCAAAAATAGACTGATTTGTCCATTTTATTATAAATATTTACCAACAGCAGGCGTGTGGCCCAAGGAGAGCACTGCCTAATCTTCCAAGGGCCACATGGCGGTGGTGAGCCAGAGGCAAGAGTGAGCTGAGCAACGACTGTGACTCTTACCCTGGCAGAGGTGGCTACATCTGAAGCCTGCAAACGCCAGAGGTTTCCACACACATACAAACCACAAGCACACCTCTTCACCCACCCTCCAGGCAAGCGACAGAGTTCAAGGACAGATTCCTCCAGGAGGATGCAGGGAGGAGTCTGAGAGGGACATGGCATGGGTGGGGTCACCCTGAGGGTCAGAAAAGTGAGGCTGGGGTGGGGGGGGCATTAGTCTCCAGACCTGAGGTACCCCCACCCCTGCCTATAGCTTTAAAATGTTATGATTTTGTGGCGGGGGCAGATTCCTCATAATCCTAAATGTAGTAAATTTAGCTGATTTTGGAGTATGAAGGGGAGATGCCAGGCCAGTGGAAATAAAGGCTAAATCAGTTCTCCTGTTCAGGAGATTGCAAAAAGAGATGCCATTAAAATAAGCACAAGGAGAACTAAGTGGCAGGCCATTAAGATCAACGGACCATGCAGATGAGAAGTGGGCAGAAGCAGAAGAATTGAGAGGTGAAGGTTGCCAGGGTAAACGGGGGCAGAGGGTGTCCTTTTCCAACAGAGATTTTGGGAGGCAGGGTTTCTGGGAAGAAGGGGAGGGAATGGGCAGAGCTCCATGCAGGGAGGGAAGGGCAGCAGCCAGCCTGGCTGGCTGGCTGGCAGAAGCAGGCTGTGACAGAGGAATGAGGGGATGGTGCTTAGGATTCCTCTGAATCCACTGCTGCTCTGCTGCTGGGAAGGAGAATGCTGTGAACTCTCCCTCCATCAAGACTCTGGTTGCGAATATGTGTACAATGAACCATATATCGTAAAGAATAGAATCATAGAATCATAGAGTTGGAAGAGACCACAAGGGCCATCGAGTCCAACCCCCTGCCAAGCAGGAAACACCATCAGAGCACTCCTGACATATCGTTGTCAAGCCTCTGCTTAAAGACCTCCAAAGAAGGAGACTCCACCACACTCCTTGGCAGCAAATTCCACTGTCGAACAGCTCTTACTGTCAGGAAGTTCTTCCTAATGTTTAGGTGGAATCTTCTTTCTTGTAGTTTGGATCCATTGCTCCGTGTCCGCTTCTCTGGAGCAGCAGAAAACAACCTTTCTCCCTCCTCTATGTGACATCCTTTTATATATTTGAACATGGCTATCATATCACCCCTTAACCTCCTCTTCTCCAGGCTAAACATGCCCAGCTCCCTTAGCCGTTCCTCATAAGGCATCATTTCCAGGCCTTTGACCATTTTGGTTGCCCTCCTGGCTATTTGTTTGAATTCCTCTTTGGTGGTTTCCCCCCTTTTCCATTTTTTGTACACATCCTTTTTAATCTTAACTCAGTTAAAAGTTCTTTAGATAGCCACCCTGGCTTCTTTAGGCACCTTCCATGTTTCCGTCTCATTGGTATTGCCTGAAGTTGTGCTTTTACTATCTCCCTCTTAACAAACTCCCAGCCATCTTGAACTCCCTTTCCTTTTAGTATTACTGTCCATGGGATCTCACCCAGCACTTCCCTAAGCTTTATGAAGTCGGCTTTCTTAAAGTCGAGAAATTGAGTCCTAGTATGCTTGGCTGCTCCTTTCCGCTGTATAGTAAACTTCAGAAGAGCATGATCACTCGCGCCTAATGATCCTTCCACTTCTACCCCACTAACCAGGTCATCAACATTGGTTAGGACCAGATCTAAAATGGCTGTTCCTCTTGTTGCTTCTCCCACTTTCTGGACAATGAAGTTGTCTGCAAGGGCAGTGAGGAATCTGTTTGACCTTATGCTCTTGGCTGAGTTTGACATCCAACAAATATCCGGGTAATTGAAGTCCCCCATTACTACTATCTCCCTTCCTTTTGCATGCTTGGCCATCTGTTCCAGGAAGGCATCATCTATGTCCTCCGTTTGGCTTGGGGATCTATAGTAAACTCCCACAATGAGGTCACTGTTATTCTTCTCTCCCTTAATTTTGACCCAAATGCTCTCACTTTGGCTTTGAGGTTCTAAATCTTGGATCTCTTCACAGGTATACACATCCCTGACATATAACGCCACTCCTCCTCCTTTCTTGTCTGGTCTGTTTCTTTGAAATAGATTGTATCCCTCCATTATTACATTCCAATCGTGGGATTTATCCCACCAGGTTTCAGTGATTCCTATTATGTCATATTTAGTTTGCTGTACCAGGAGCTCAAGCTCATCTTGTTTATTTCCCATGCTTTGCGCATTAGTGTACAGACATTGAAGTCCATTAATCATTCCCCCGTGTCTCTTATTTAAGGATTTTCTCCTCCCACCACTAGGTCTGCATGCTCTTTGCTCCATTCGGTCTATGACATTTGGATGATCATCTTCATCAATTGATAGACTCCTACCTTCAGGAGCACTGTCTCCCTCCCCCACATTAGTCAGTTTAAAGTCCTCCTGATGAGGTTTCTGAGATTTTTTGCAAAAACATTCCTCCCAACCGTTGTGAGGTGCAGCCCATCGCTTGCCAGAAGTCCATCTTCAAGAAACTGCATTCCGTGATCTAAGAATCCAAACCGTTCCTGTTTGCACCATTTGCGAAGCCAGTTGTTCACTTCCACTATTTTTCCCTCTCTCCCTGGGCCACGTCGTTCAACTGGGAGGACAGATGAGATGACAATTTGTGCATTTAATTGCTTCAATTTCCTGCCCAGAGCCTCGTAATCTCTTTTGATCTTCTGGAGGCTATTGCTTGCAGTGTCATTGGTTCCCACATGAACCAAGAGGAAGGGGTATTTGTCAGTGGGTTTTATGATTCCTTGCAGTCGTTCAGTTACATCTTGGATCTTAGCCCCGGGGAGACAGCACACTTCCCGAGACATCTTGTCAGGCCCACAGATCACTGCTTCTGTTCCCCTCAGTAGGGAATCCCCTATCACCACTACACGCCTCCTCTTAGGTCTGGTCGGGGTTCTTCTGTGAGCTGTCGGTTCCAAGGTCGCCTGGACATTCCCAGAGGACTGCCTTTGCTCCTCGTCTTCATATACCTGATCGACTGTAATGAGGGAGAGATCCTCAAATGGAGTCTGCTCTTCGTCTTCCATGCTAGGGGAAAGGACCTCAAAGCGATTGCGTATTTCTAAACAATCAGAGCGAACCCTGGGCCTCCTACTTCTTTGAGTCACGTTTCTCCATATATCTGGCTCCTGTGTTGGTGAACTAGCCACCTTCTCAGGGGAGTCCCCTGTCTCTTCCTTGGTGGAGACGGTGTGCTCTGTTGCTTCCAAGAAGAGTTCCAGCTCTCTAATTCTTTGAAGCGTAGCTACACGTTCCTCCAGTTGCTGGACTTTGTCTTTTAAGAGGGCAATCAACATGCAATTGCTGCAGGTAAAGCTGCCTGCAACCTTTGGCAAGATGGCAAACATTGCGCAGGAACCACAGGCGACTGCAGCTGTTCCCTCACCCTCCATCTTGGGAACGTGTCGTTGGGGGTGACTACAGTGGTCCTCTATCATAAAAAGTGTGGAGACAGGACAAATAAATCCCTCCCAAAAAACCTAGGTCTCCCCCAACAAATGTTTGAGACTAGCCCCCCTAAATCTAAAATATGGATCAAACTGACCTTTGCCCAGAGAGAGCAGCTAAACAGCCACAAGAAACTCACACAGGAAAACCCTTTTTGATCCCACCAGGGATCAAGACACTTACGGTATCTCCGCTGTGCCTTAATTTCTCAACAGAAATGCAACCCTGGTTAAGTGCCAGGACCTCTGGGATCTTGCTACCGCTCGGAAGGGATTGCGATGGCCTCTGTAACAATATCTATATCAAGTCCCATGTATGAGAGTGTAGAGGGACACTTTAAAAAAATAATAATAATGGGTGGCTCTCATCCCCCCCCCCGGTGCAGCTCCTGACTGGGTGGTGAGAGAAGAAGAAGAAGAGTTTGGATTTGATATCCTGCTTTATCACTACCCGAAGGAGTCTCAAAGCGGCTAACAATCTCCTTTCCCTTCCTCCCCCACAACAAACACTCTGTGAGGTGAGTGGGGCTGAGAGACTTCAGAGAAGTGTGACTGGCCCAAGGTCACCCAGCAGCTGCATGTGGAGGAGTGGAGACTCGAACCCGGTTCCCCAGATTGTGCGTCTATCGCTCTGAACCACTACACCACACTGGCTCCCAGAGGGGGAGAAAAGGTACTCTCAGGCTCACCCACACTTCTGCTTGTTCTGTTCCTAGAGAGCATGGATCTCTAGGAGACGTCACTTTCTCCACACCCTTCCTAAGGAAAATTTGCTCTTCAGCTCTAAATCTGAGCAAACATCAATCCAGAGAAATCCCAAATTGCCATTTGCTCCAACTGAATGCGAAAGAACAGTTTTCTCCAGGGAAAAGCAGCAGGACAAGCGGAAGTGTGGATTAGTCCTCAGATACAACATTGAGACGAGGCTAGGTAGGTTGTAGAGGCCCAGTAAGCTTCACAAAAACCTGCGCTTGTACAGACTTCTGCTTGTCCCACATCTAGAAAGTACGGGCCCAAAAGGTTTTCCTCTTGCCCCGTTCCATTCCCAGGGATAACCCACTCTTTAGCGATAAATTGGAACAAATGGAAATCTGGGAAAAACCTGAATCGCCGTTTGCTCCAATTGAGCACTAAAGAGTGGTTTCCCTGGGGGAAAGCAGCAGGACAAGAGGAAAGTGTGGATAAGCCCTTAACTCCTCAAAACCAGACACTTGTGCTGCCATAGCCACCATGCCCCAAACTTTCCCTGGTACAGCCACTTACATGCCACTCTACTTTGATTATTTGATGCTTTTTCCAAGAAGGGCCCTTCCGGCCTCAGGTCCAGAGCTGCGCGGCAGGTGACTTCCTTTCCGTGGCCATTCTGCTGAGCGGTGATGCTGTTGCTTGTCACCACAACATTGCCGGCTTCAGGATTCCTGTGGTCCTCAAAGGTCTCCACATAGAGCCTCTTCTCCCCTTGATACAAGGTTACGGTGAGGTTCCGGATGGGGGCAACATCGAAAACTCGACAAGTCACATTATACTCCTTACCCACCTCCACCTCGGGCAGCGGATCCAACACTACGCGCTCCGGAGCTCCTGGAACAGAATAAAAAGTGACAACTCTTCATTTGTTTATCTATTTTAGAGGGGCAGAAGAACATGAGGGTGAAGGTTCTGCCTCTCTGTGTCTCCTCTGGAAATAATTCTTCCTGTGTGCTCCCAGGACAGAGGGTGGTGTGCCCAGGCCTTAAGGATGAGGCCCATGAGGTCATGAGGCAGCCCCTCTCAGCCCACTTCCAGCTTCCTCCTTTGCAAAGTGCGTTGAACCAAAGGTGAACTGTTCCAGAAGCTTTGCTAACACCAACTTGGTAGTCAAGATAACCCCACAATTAATTGGTGGTGGTTGAGCTGATTTATGCTTCTATTCACTTGCTTTAATATAGGCTAAATGGCTTTGCTGTGATGCTGTCCTTACCTGTGGGCTTGGGATACTGGGCTCTGAGCCCAGGAAGGGGAACTACCTGTCAGACTTGGGTATTTGCCACCTATGCCCTCATCTGGGCAGGTGAAGCAACGGGAAGCCTTAGGCAAAGTGACAAATGCTGCTTTGTGTATGAAGAACGTTATACGCCTTTGGTTGGGCACAGACAAGCCATCTCTCTGCTGTGGCGTCTGTCCCACTTCTGCAAAGGCTTGGGAAGCTGGCAGGCTGATTCGCAGTAAGTCTATACCTTTCTTTACAAAGCTCTGGCGACTTTGACATCCTTCTCCGGTATACCTGCACCCCACCCCTCCCTAGGCCAACCCCAACCTCTCTGGCCTCTTGGGACGGAAAGCAGAGCCAGAGCAGTCTGGGCATGCAGTCCCTCAGAATTCCACCAGAGGGCGAGAGCCTCTCTCTGATTGGCTACCAAGATAGCCAGCCAGAGGGGAGGGAGGGAGAATAAAAAGAGCATTTTCTGAGGGAGTGTTGAGATAGAGATAGAGACCTGGGCTTTGGTCAGTTAGTTAAGCATTTCTCTTGTTTTCCTTGATTTCCTCTTGCCCTCCCTTGGCTAGGCCCATGCATAGAGATAAAGCTAGAGATAGAATTTTCAGAGACAGTTTAGGGAGGGAGAGTTGTTGAGTTGATTCTGCCCAATGTGTGTAACATCCACTCTGAGGAAATTATCTACAGCGAGAGAAAGGAGAGAGCCAGTGTGGTGTAGTGGTTAAGAGCGGTAGACTCGTAATCTGGTGAACCGGGTTCACGTATCCGCTCCTCCACATGCAGCTGCTGGGTGACCTTGGGCTAGTCACACTTCTCTGAAGTCTCTCAGCCCCACTCACCTCACAGAGGGTTTGTTGTGGGGGAGGAAGGGAAAGGAGAATGTGAGCCGCTTGGAGACTCCTGAAAGGGAGTGAAAGGCGGGATATCAAATCCAAACTCTTCTTCTTCTTCTTTTGGCTTAGCCTGGAAGACAGTGTGGAGCGTCTTGGGAGAGCATTCAGACAGGAGCTAACCGGAGGGCTACGGCTGAGCCAGGAGAAGTAGAAGCCATGAGGACACCGTCTCCTTGGGTCTCCTTCCAGCAAGAAGGGGAGACTCCCAGCGCAGCAGCCTGGCCAAAGAGCTGCTTCCGTCCGGAGAAATGGAGAGGTTGAGAGAGACAGAGGCTGGCTGGCTGGCTGAGGGAAGTCCCTTCCCCGGGCAGCAGCAAGGGACAGGGGCTCTGCCAAGAGGCGTCTCCTGCCCCCGCCACCAGCGGAGAGGCTACTGTGGCCCCAGCACAAGAAGCGCCACTCAGGCGGGTCCACTGGACCTGCCCCTCCTGGAGCCCCATAGCCTGGGGGAAGGCTGCTCTGGCACCAAGGGGCTCAGGAGCTGGAAAGAGGCTGTCACCAATCCACTAAGTCTGCTGGGACCAGAGCGAACTCTGAGGCCCTGTGCTTGCTGTCGTGAGAGAACCTCAGCAGAACGCAAGGCGAGCAAGAAGTCACTGAAGAGGACTTGCTCTTGTTTTGATCTTTTGTGGGCTTTTGGACCTGTGCTACCTGAGGAAAGGAGCGCAAAGATGGATCAAGGGCCTGCTGGTCTTGTCATGTTTAGGCATACTTCACCACCACCCCTCCATCCAGGGATCGTGGGGCATTTAGTGTCCAACTCCTTCAGGATGCACACAAGAGACAGAGCTCCTGTATGTGCATTCTGCAAAATAATCAGCTGAATTATGCAAAACAGGGCTTCCAGTGGAGCGCGGAACCAGCGGCAGGCGAGGGTTTTTTCCGGGGAGAAAGCCCTAGCTTTTTCGGCCGAAATAGGAGGTTTTGAGGGCGAAAAAAACCTCCCATCGAACCTCTGGAGGGTGTCTAGAGGTCCAGGGTCCCGGCAGTGCCAAAAGCTGTCCGTCCGGTCGCCAGGTAGCCTCTGGAAAAGAGGCGAAGAGCGCGACGGTACGAGCAGCGGGCAATCGGGCAGCCATTGCAGCGGCTAACTAGCGAAGCCCCGAGCCTGCAGGGAATAGCGCTCTGCTCTCGATATAAAGAAAATCGGATTCGCAGCTCAGAATTTAAAGAACTGGTGAGTTAAAATAACAAGGAAGTCTCCGATTAAAAAGAGAGAAGAATCCGAGTTCAGCGGCTGTCTGGCATCAGCGAAAAAGACGCAGCGTTGCTTGCAGAGCTGAAAACGAAAGTAAGTCGCCGCTAGCGGTTACTGTTTCTGTCTCCCTGTAACTATTGGGAACTGTGCTAAACTAAGTTAAAAAGTATCCTTTTTCAAAGAAAGAGGAGAGAAGGAGAAAAATAAGGGGAGCAGAGGAGATCAGTGATTTAAGAGAGACCTCAGTGATTACTGCAATCAAAACAATAGGAACACAGAGAGGACTATCTGTTAATATCTCTGTGAAGAAACTATCACGCTGGAGAACCTCCGACGCCATATTAAGCTTCTTTAAAAGACTCTCAGACAGGGAGGAAAAAACACCTTGACATTTGCTGCGTTGGTTTGTGGGGGTTTGTTTTTACTTATTACATTTCTTTTTTTTTTCTCTACCTCTGTTTTGGAACTTTAATAGTGAAAATCAGGTGAGAATTGGAAACTAAGGTGAACAGCTGGAAGAAAGCAGCTGGTATAACAACTCAAGAACCTCTTTACAAAGTTTGATGAGGCCTGACCCCCAGTGGTCAAAGCTAAATATTACAGTGACAAACTAAATTTATACTGAAAGCTTCGGCTGGGCATGTCAAGCCTTATGAAAACATTTGAGTAATAACTGGGTCTGAGAGATCCCTCTCACCACAATGGACTTCACTTCTGGGACTGTTCAGCATTAAAATAAAATTTGGAGCGTAACTGAAACTATAAGCTGGTTTCCTCCTTCAATAATTTTGGTCACCAATTTTCTTCTTTGCTTTCTTCCCTCTTTTTTGGACCTTTTTGGACCTTATTTGGAATTAAAAACTAGAGTGCTCTTTAATCAATGCTGTGGATGGATTAGCCCGAACAGGGGCGAGAAGATAGCCTGAAAAGGATTAGCCCGAACAGGGGCAAGAAGAACACAGATAGACGACTGACCCCCCTCAAATTTTAAGGGAGAAAGAACAATTATCAACGATAAGACTCTGAGGGTGAAGGGTTAAAGAAGTGGTGATTTGTGATTTGTTTGTTTTCCCTTTTGTTTCTCCGCCCTCTCTCCCTTTTTAGGTGGTATCTTCTATACTTGGTAATTACCTTAACAATAGTCAATAATAGTTAACAGTATTGCGATTGTAACTGTATAGAACTATTCAGTGTAAATACCTGTAACTTTGAAATATAAGAATATGTCACATACACAGAAAAAAGGGGCAGAGGGGGGGACTCCGACAGATAGGAGAGCCTCAAAGCAAGAAACAGAATTTAGAACAGAAATATTGAAGATGTTTGCAGAAATAAAACAAAGTGAGAAAAATTTAGAGACAAAATTAGAACAGGTAGATAATAAAATTGGGAAAATGGATAAAAAGATTGAGGAGACAGTCAGTGAGCTGAAAGGACAGATTAAAGAGGTCTCAAGGAGAGTGGACGAGGGCTTAAAGAAGACAAAACAGGAAATGAAAGAGATGAAGCGGGAAGAGGAGAAGATGAGAAATGAGATCGCAGATTTAAATAAAATTCAAGAAGAAATAAAAGACTCCATCGCGATGAACGAACTGAAACAGAGAGAAGTTAATTTAAGACTGAGACAAGTACCGGAATTACAAAACGAAAATATAAAAGATAGACTGATAAAGGAAATTGCGCAATGGATGGAGCTCTCAGAAGAAGAAATAGCAAAGACAATACAAAATGCATATAGAATGAAAATTAAATCAAGTAAGCTAAAGAAATTCCCGGGTGACTGTTTAATTACTTTTAAGGATAGAGACATGAGAAACATGATCCTGCAAAGGAATAGAGAGAAGAGATTATACATTGACGGAAACTATATAATTATATTTAAAGATATTCCAATAAGGCTGTTGAAGTGAAGAGAAGCTTACAAACCACTGGTGCAATTACTTAAGAAAAATAAGATCGATTTCAGATGGGAATTTCCGGAAGGAGTCTCTTTTTTTTACAAAGGAGTAAAAAGAAGATTGCTAAGCCCTGAGGAAATAGGAAAATTTACAAGAAGATATAAAGAACTACAACAAGGAGAGGAAGAGGCTAAAGGAGCAGAAGGAGGATTAAGACTGAGGGAGGACCTTGATTTAGGTGAAGAAGAAGAACAGACCGGGAGAGAATCAGAAGAAGAGGAAGAAGAAGAAGGAGGAGGAGAGACAGAAAGACTATAAAGCCAAAGCTTAAATTTAGATAAAGGCAACAAGAATGACGTTAAAATTATGGAATTGGAATATTAACGGAATGAACGATAAGAAGAAACGGAATGGAATTGAACGTATTCTAAAAAAGAAGAATCTGGACATTATATGCCTTCAAGAAACACACGTGGCTAAAAAACATAGGAAGATCCTGGTTAACAAAAGGTTAGGGAATGAATTTATATCTTCGGATAAAGAGAAAAAAAGAGGAGTTGTATTATATATTAAAAACAAAATTGAATCTCGCCAATTATTTAAGGATGAAGAAGGAAGAATAATAGCGGCCCAAATTAAATGGCAAGGGGAAGATTTGATAATAGTTGGGATCTACGCACCAAATGGGAATAAGACAGAATTTTTCAGATTATTGGAAGAGAAATTATTTGAATACATGGACCAAAAAATCATAATAATGGGAGACATGAACGGTGTTGTTTCAATAGAAATGGACAGATTAAGGAAAGCGAAAAACAAAGAAGGGAAATTACCTAAGACATTCTTTATGATGACTAAGAACTACAACTTAATTGATGTTTGGAGACTCAGGCACCCTTTGGAGAAGCAATTCACATACTACTCAGAACCGAACCAATCACTATCAAGAATAGATCAAATATGGGTATCGAATGAGCTGACACCAAGAATTAAAAAAATCGAAATACAGGCCAAAGTCATCTCAGACCACAATCCAATAGAAATGGAACTAAAAGGTTTTGAAGAGAGAACCTTTAGATGGAGGCTGAATGATAATCTATGGGATGATCAAAAGTTTGTGGAAAAAATACGGAAAAGATTATTTGAATACTTTTTGGACAATTTAGATAAAGGGACAAAAACGAGTGTGGTGTGGGATGCAAGTAAGGCTGTAATGAGGGGTCTACTTATACAACAAAACGCGTGGAAAAAAACAATAGAGAAAAAAAGATAAAAGAGATTCTGAGACAGATTATGAACAATGAACAAAAATTGATTAAAAAACCCAACAATGAGAAGATAAAGCAGGAAATAAAGACTCTCCAAACTCAATATGCAATGATAATAAACAAAGAGGTCGAATGGAACATAAAGAGGCTAAGACAAAAAAACTTTGAGTTCGCAAATAAATCAGGAAAATGGCTCGCCTGGCAGGTAAAAAGAAGGAAAGAACAAAACACAATTAACAAAATTGAAATAAATGGGGAAGAAATAACAGAGCCGAAAGAAATTAGGAAAGGGTTCGTGGACTTCTATAAGCAATTATATAGGAATAAAGAAAGGAACAACAAGAAAAAAATAGAAAGATACTTAAAAGAAAAGATGGTGAGGAAAATCCCGACAGACCAAAAGGAACAGTTAAATGCCCCAATATGTAGAGATGAGGTTGAAGAAGTAATAAAAGAACTGAAAAGAGGGAAAGCCCCGGGTCCAGATGGATTTACAGCAAGTTATTACAAAGAAATGAAAGACACACTGATAGCTCCGCTGATTGAAGTAATGAATAACATCTTAAAAGATAGGGATATTCCAGGAACATGGAAAGAGGCATTTATTACAATAATCCCAAAACAAGATTCGGATCCCACTCAAGTGAAGAACTACAGACCTATCTCTTTATTAAACACCGACTATAAGATTTTTGCAGGAATCTTAGCCAAAAGATTAAAAAAAATATTAATAAAAATCATACATAAAGATCAAGCTGGTTTCCTGCCAGGCAGACAAATAAGTAATAACACAAGAAATATAGTAAATCTTATCGAATATCTGTCTGAGAGATGTGACAAACCAGCAAGTTTAATCTTTGTAGACGCGGAGAAAGCTTTCGATAATGTAGTCTGGGAATTTATGCTGAAAAATCTGGAGGTCATGGAGGTGGGCCAAGAATTCTTTAACGGTATAAAGGCAATTTACACAGACCAGAAAGCTAGATTGATAATTAATAATGTTATTACCGAAGATATTAAAATAGCCAAAGGAACAAGACAGGGGTGCCCGCTTTCGCCACTGTTGTTTATAGTGGTTTTAGAAACCTTATTAAATGCAATAAGACAAAATAAGCAAATTAAAGGGGTTACATTAGGAGCAAATGAATATAAAGTCAAAGCTTACGCAGACGACGTGGTTCTGACGGTGGAAGAACCCATGGAAAGTATAAAGGAGATCTTGGATGAGATGGAGAAATTTGGAGATATAGCAGGATTTAAATTGAATAAGAGAAAGACCAAAATGATTGTTAAAAATCTGGATCAAGACAAGATTGTATCATTACAGCAACGAGTAGAGATCGAAGTAGTCAGAAAGGTTAAATACTTGGGAATATGGCTTTCTAGTAAGAATATTGACCTATATCAAAACAACTATACCCCGGTTTGGAACGGAATAAAAAAAGATTTGGAGGTCTGGGCCAGAATGAAACTGTCATTCTGGGGAAGAATATCAATGGTCAAAATGATGGTGCTCCCTAAGCTGTTATTTCTATTTCAAACTATACCCATAATAAAAGGTACAAAAGACTTTAAAGAATGGCAAAAGGCGATCTCAAGATATGTCTGGGAAGGGAAGAAGCCCAGAATTAAATTTAAGTTATTAACAGATATAAAAGAAAGAGGTGGCTTCGCCCTTCCGGACATGAGATTGTATTATGAGGCAGCATGTTTGTGCTGGTTAAAAGAATGGGTAAAATTGGAAAACAAAGAACTATTAGATTTGGAAGGGTTCAATAACAAATTTGGGTGGCACGCGTACTTATGGTGCGAAAAAAAGAGGGTGCACAAGGGGTTTGGCAACCATATTTTCAGAGGTTCATTAATAGAGGTCTGGGATAGATACAAAAACATACTGGAACCAAAAATCCCACATTGGCTATCCCCGTTAGAGATAATGTGTGTAAAGAAAATTAATATGAGAGGAAAGTGGGGAAAGTATGGGGAAATGGTTACCAACGAAGGAGGGAAGTGGAAAATAAAACCATATGACCAGGTTAAAGTGTTTACATATGATTGGCTGCACTACTTCCAGATAAATGAGATGTTTAAAAAAGAGGTAAAGGAGAGGGGTTATGAGGAAAAAGAATCTAGATTTCAAAAAGATATAATAAACAACGAATATAAAAACCTGTCAAAAATGTACAAAATACTGTTGGAGTGGAATATGAAGGATGAGGAAGTGAAATCGGTGATGGTCCTATGGGCAAGGGATTTTGGATACAATATCAAATTGGAGGATTGGGAAAGGCTGTGGAAGGTGAACATAAAATTTACAGCATGTACATTATTGAAAGAAAATATGATGAAAATGCTATACAGATGGTATATGACACCCGTAAAATTGGCTAGGATGTATAAGGTAGACAACAAATGCTGGAAATGTAAACAGAAAGAAGGGACATTTTACCATCAGTGGTGGGAATGCAAAAAAGTTAAAAGTTTTTGGGAAAAGTTCTATAACGAAATGAAAAAGATGTTAAGATACACCTTTATTAAAAGACCAGAAGCCTTTCTACTAGGTATTGTAGGAAAAGATATTGGAAGAAAGGATGGCAAGCTTTTCCAGTATGCGGTAACGGCTGCCAGAATCGTGCTTGCTCAGAAGTGGAAGCAAGAAGAAACTCCAACGGTGGAGGAGTGGAGAGTAAAACTGATAGAATATGCTGAACTGGACAGACTAACAGGGAAAATTAGATACACTAAAGATCAAAAATTCATTGAAGACTGGGGGAAATTTGTGGGTTATCTGGAGAATAATTGTGACGTAAATACAACGCTAGTGGGGTTTAAAGAGGCGCTGTAAAGAACTAACAAGTATTGTCTATGAGAAATAATGGAGGAGGGGAGGAACAAATGGCAATATGAATGAATGGAATGCGTACTAAAGATGTAACTATGAATGATTGTCAGTAACGTTGAAGGAAGTCTAACTTGGATAAGATTCGTTGTAATATGGATAAAATGTATAATTAGTTGGAAATCAATAAAATTTTAAAATGCAAAAAAAAAAAAAGAATTATGCAAAACAGCAGCCTGACATGCACAAATAACGGGGAAATGGAAATTTGCTTTGTTTGCTTCCATCACAAATGTTATCACTTCAAGTCCCTGAAGCCAGACTTCCTTGATGGGTGCCAAAACCAGACTGGATGGGCTTTGCAGGGGAAGGTTTTCCTACTGGTTGTCTTTCAATGTGGAATTCTTTCCTTCAACAAAGTCAGAATCCGTGCATCTCCTAAAAGCTATTTCTGTTTTAGGATTATAATCAACATCTGTCTTTGTTTGTTTGGTATACCGCCCTTCATCTGCCGATCTCAGGGGAGTTCACAACGTTGTTTTAGGGCTAAACTGGGCTGGCGGAGGTGGAGCTGGGAATGTCCCCTGCCTGAAACTCCGGAGAGTGCAGACAATACACTCTAGGAGCCAGGTGGGCCAATGGTCTGACTTGGCATGAGGCAGTTTCCTGTGTCCTGTGTTCATTTCATTTTAGCCAAACGCTTTTGTGCACAGTTAATATATCTGCCAGCCATCTTGGGGAATCTGCTCTCAGTTACAGTGCTGGGCTGGATGGGCCCAAGGTCTGACTCTGTATTTCTTATTTTCCTTGACAGGACTCATGACAGCTTACAGATAAGAACAAGAACCATTAAAAAGTCCATTATTAAAATACAACTGAATATTGGTAGAATTAAAACGATATAACTATATGAAATCTGTTTAAAACATACCAATAGTTACCATAAAAGCAGCACGGCACCAGCCCTTTCAATAAAAGCAGTCAGTTCTCAAAGGGCTGTTGGAAAAAGAAAGACTTCCCTGCCAGTGGGGTGCACATTCAACCACTTTCTTGTCTGGACTCCTGCTGAATTTGAATCTGTGGCTCTAAGCAGAGGAAACCCCTCCCTGTGCTCCACTGAGTAAGCTCCACTTTCCTTCAAGGTGAGCTGAATGATTATTCCAAGGCAGTCTAAAATATGACTTACGGTAAACGGTGATGGCTGCTTCCTGAAATGTATTACTTTGACATGTAGCATAGCACTGTGGTTTTGGTTCCCAGCTGCTGACGTTGGTGAGGCTGAAGGCTCTCCAAGTAGGACCCTCCCCTGCTAGAACATTGTTTAAGCTGGTCTCCAGGGCAATGTTCTTGCAACTGGCACTGCAGTTTAATACAATGGAGCCTCCAAATTCCACCACAGGCTTTATGGGCCAAATCCTCAGAAACTCCTGCTCCTGCTGAGCCCCTGAAAACACAACAGATACAACTTGTATGAAAATGCAATAATATAGCGGGGAGGGTATATAAATGTTGAGGAAATGTTTGGGGGAAGCAGGGGCACTGAGTAGGGGGGAGTGGGGGGCCAGGACCCCATATTTCTGATTAAAGGGCCAGGACACCCCAAAGTTCTTTGCAGCTGTGCATGCATGCCACAGGGCATCCTTGCATCACGTGCGCAAACCGCAGGACATCAGCACGCCCCATAGTGTGCGTGAATGATGTCAGCATGCTGCGAGCATGCTGCGGCGGGTGCTGACATCATGAATACTTGCCACAGGGAATGTGCGTACGGTGTGCTGACATTGTGTGGCCCTGGGCCTCCTTAATTGCGGGGGCAAGGCAGTGCACATGGGAGGTAGTAAGGGCTTGTCCCCAGTTCCTCTTGCTCCACTGCTTTCCCCTGGGGAAAACCACTCTTTAGCACTCAGTCAGAGCAAATGGCAACTCAAGTTTTCTCCAGATTGGCGTTTGTTCCAATTTAGTACGAAAGGACAGGTTTTCCCTGGGAAAGGAGCAGGGCAAAGGGGAAACTGCTCAGACCCGTGCCTGGAAAGCACGGGTCAAGCAGAAAACTGTAACCCATAAGAGAGGAACAGACAAAAGACAGAAAAAGCTATGCCAGGGATGGGCGAACTTGGGGAGAGTGTAGCAGGCCAGGAGATCACTAGAGGCCCAACAGTCCTTTGTGGCTAGGAGGGCCTTTTACCAGCTGCCTGGGAAAGTCTGTTCACTATAGTACATCTTTGTAACCTTGAGGCTAGATTGCTGACATGCACTCTGTGTGGGGCTGCCCTGGATCTAGTTCAGAAGCTCCGGCTGGTGCTGAACACCGTGGCCAGAAGGCTGTTGGGAGCTTCTGGTTGAGAACATGTGACACCATTGTTGAAACTGCTGCCACTGGTTGCCTATCTGATACCAAGCCATGTTCAAGGTTCTTGTATTGATTACAAAGCCCTGAACGACTTGGGCTCAGGATACCTCGGGACCATCTGCAGGAGTGTCTCTAGTCATTCCCTGCGCTGGTGAGGCTCATATGACAACAATGAGAAACCAAGCCTTTAATCTTATCCACCCACTCCTGTGGAACTCTGTACCAGACATGGGGGGATCCTCAGCAGCCGCGTGCACACGCTGCACATGCTGATTTTAATTGTGCAGCCTGCTGGCGTGCTCACGCCACTCTCACACACCCTGTGGCATGCGCATGATGTGCTGACATCACTCGTGCATGGCATGTGGCACCAGCCCCTTAAATTGTGGTGGCAAGGTGGCATCCTTGCTGCCAATAGAGATTCAGCGGGTGCCTTCTGTGCCAACTTTTAAGCAGCTGTTGAAAACCTTTCTGTTCCACCAGGCAATTAAGAGTACGTCTCCCACTATAGTCTATTAATGTTTCTTTTTATTTGCTTTTTGCTTCCAACTTATTGTTAACTGCTTTTCACGTTTAATTTGTTTTTAACTTTTTGTGATTTTATTGCTTGGTTTTATGCTTTTATATTGTTCATAGATTAATTGAATTGTATAGTTGGAAGGGACCCCAAGGTCCAGCCCCCTGATATGTAAACCACTGTGATATATTTTTATGATGTACTGCTATATAAATATATTTATAAATAAATTACAATAAGTATCAAGGTCCCAAACCATATAGAACCTAAAAATTAACAGCAGCACTTTAAATACTTCCAGATGGTCACTAAATCAAGTGTATACAGAGGTACCTCAGTTTACAAACTTAATTTGTTCCGGAAGTCCATTCTTAAACCGAATTGTTCTTAAACCAAGGCGCACTTTTCCTACTGAGGCCTCCCGCCGCTGGTGCCTTTCCACTGCTCGGCTTCTGTTCGGCTTCCGAGGCAAAGTTCGCTAGCCGGAACACCTGCTTCCGGTTTTGTGGAGTTCATTGCCTGAATAGTTCATTAACAGGACTGTTTGTAGGCTGAGGTACCACTGTACTGGAAATTAGGTTTGTGCAATTAATATGGATTAAAACACTCTATGGCTCTAGCACAACAAATCTACTGTCTCTTCACACACCAGACACATATAAGCAGTTTGTGTTCCTATACAGTCTTCAGAGTTCACACAATGTTCCCCTCAGACAACACCATCTCAATGCCTTTTCCTTGTAAGTGCATCTTTGCCAGATACAGGTCTTTCCTATAAATCAGGGGAAATTGTCACGTGGCAAAGACACCTGAGAGCAGAAGCAGCCACGCAGGCTGGGAAGGGCTGGGGCTGCACAATCATTTGGGCCTCCTCAAGTTCTCCAGGCCTAACTGCTACCTGGGGAGTCACTCTGACATGGGACAGTCTCCTTGTAAGTAGCAGCCATTTTCTCTCTGTGTTCTCAGTAAGATTTCAGTCAGTCAGTTGTGAGCAGAGTCAGTATGTAAGCTCAGTCAAACTGTTTGGAACCATGTTGTTTATGAAGAAGTTTATTTTAACTCAATAAAGCTCTTATTCTTTCACTTAAAAACTCTGCATTGATAATTTACGCTGCGCGTCAGAAATGAGGCTCCAAACCAAAGAGTCACAGACGATTTGTTGTGGTGTTTTGGGTGAATCAATTTTCACTTTCTGCTACTCCCCTTTCAGTGCCCGCTGCTTTCACATTGCTTTCATTTTCAGCCATGCTCATAAATATTTCTGGTGTGCTCCTGAATGGAGCATAGCCTTATAAGTTTTCTCCCTTTTGACGCCTCAGATTTGCACAAAACCAGCTATTTGCAGAAATTACTGCATTTTCTCGTGTATATATTTTTTCAAGTTTAAAATTGGGGGTTGTTTATACACGGATAGTGCATATGGGGGATTTCTTTATCTGGAGTCCCCCAAAATGGATGGGAAAGACCTAAGCTGCTCATGTGTGGCTGTGGACTGGGGGGGTCAGCCTCTAAACGATGCCCCAAAGTGGACAGGCCCCTATAAACAACCCACAGGCATATCAGAATAAATGCTCATTGCAATACAACTTGACTTCCCAGCAAATCAGAATGAATATCAATAACCGCTAAATAAGCTTTGTGCAAGCAAATCATTGCAAATGCTGAATAAATAGCTCCTCTGGAGGAGCCCTTTGAAATGGGATTGAGCTGAGTGTACAGTCCCAGTTTTGGAGCACCGACCTGGAAATGCCGTGAGGGTCACAGCACACCACAGAAAATCAATGCAGAGCTTCCAGGATCTCATTACTGTTAAGAAAGAGAGAAAAGCAGAGTTTTAGCTTCCAAAAGAATTCTCTCCAACCAACCTTTAAAAGGAATCCAAGGTTTTCTCCTTGGCTTACTTCTTCTGGTTTAGAAGCATTGCCCAATGACCCATTGATGAGTTTGTAAAGTTGTCATCAACACCAACCCAAATGCTTAGGAATGTACATGAGATAATGTCAAGAAATATAAATATATTTCTTGCAATTTTCAATTCTTAGCAATTTTCTCATCAGGGACATATGAAGCCGCTTTGGGTCCATTGTATCCAGTACTGTCAATTCTCTTTTCAAACATCCTCTCAGTGGAGATCTGTCAGGATCCCAATCTAGGTTTTTTTACACTCCAAGTTGATTTCTTTTTCTTTTAGAATCATAGAATCATAGAGTTGGAATAGACCACCAGGGCCATCGAGTCCAACCCCCTGCCAAGCAGGAAACACCATCAGAGCACTCCTGACATATGGCTGTCAAGCCTCTGCTTAAAGACCTCCAAAGAAGGAGACTCCACCACACTCCATGGCAGCAAATTCCACTGTCGAACAGCTCTTACTGTCAGGAAGTTCTTCCTAATGTTTAGGTGGAATCTTCTTTCTTGTAGTTTGGATCCATTGCTCCGTGTCCGCTTCTCTGGAGCAGCAGAAAACAACCTTTCTCCCTCCTCTATATGACATCCTTTTATATATTTGAACATGGCTATCATATCACCCCTTAACCTCCTCTTCTCCAGGCTAAACATGCCCAGCTCCCTTAGCCGTTCCTCATAAGGCATCGTTTCCAGGCCTTTGACCATTTTGGTTGCCCTCCTCTGGACACGTTCCAGTTTGTCAGTGTCCTTCTTGAACTGTGGTGCCCAGAACTGGACACAGTACTCCAGGTGAGGTCTGACCAGAGCAGAATACAGTGGCACTATTACTTCCCTTGATCTAGATGCTATACGCCTATTGATGCAGCCCAGAATTGCATTGGCTTTTTTAGCTGCCGCGTCACACTGTTGGCTTTTGCAGCAGTCTTGTAATGTTTAAAGTTTTGTTGCTGCTGCTTTCTGTTTTCCTTCAGATTACTGCAATTTAAATATGATCTTTTGCCTCTTTGACACCTATTTTCCCCTCTGCATTTTCATGGTGTGAAGCTACCCTGAACACCCTTTGTGTAGCAGAGCAGGGCATTAATTACTTACTTGCAATGCAAGCGTGGGCATCTTCAATCATAGAAGTACCGTAAGTCCCACTAAGTTCAAAGGGACTTTCTCCTTTGTGTGATTGCAGCCATACTTATTCTAACTTAATTCTTTCCTTTCATTTTGACTTCTTGCTGTCTTTTTAATTGATTTTAATTTTTAATCAGTTTTGTAATCTTTTTCAATGAGGTAAGGGATATATACATAGCAGATAAACAATTGAATTGACTTTGCTTTTCTATTAAGTAGCAACACAAATCCCATAGATTTACTTCTTTTCCTTCACCATGTCCTCTCCTCCCCTTGCTCTATGAAACTCAGAGATATACATGAGGTTATTCAATTTTATTCTCAACAACTGCCGTGTCAGGTTAGCCAGGCTGAAAGAATGATGGGCCAAACAAGACCACCCAAGCAGCAGTTTGGCTTCCATTATCCACCCCCACCTCTGGCTAGCTAGAAGAGGAAATCCCAGGGTTTGTGCACTTTTCCCAGTCCCCAAGAAGTGACCCAGAGGGGGCTGGCTCACTTACCTGCCGGGATAGTGACAAAGGTGGCTGGAAGAGTAAAGAGCACCCAAGCAAGAGAAATGGCAGGCGGTGAGGCTGGTGTTCTCTCCTTGCTGTGAGACTGCAGGATGAGCTATATGAATATAAGGAGAGCAAGCAACATGCAGGAAAGATAAGAAGGCTTCGGCTGGTGGTGGGCTGAGGGCGCTGTATCCTTTCTGCTAGAGGAAGATAAGTCAGCAAAACTAGAAAGAACATTCTGGAGGAGCAGGCTAGGCACAGCCTAGCCAAAGCGACTGCTTTTAGCAAGAGAAAGAGTTGGGGGAGGAGGTGACTTTATCTCAGTTTCTCATTTTCCTGGCCTTCTGTTCAGTTATCCACATTTTGCATTTGTGATTATGTTTTTAAAAAGGATTCCTTATTAACAACTGTGAGCATTTTAATGAAAATTTCTTGTAATATACACATTTTTGTATGCAAATTTGACTAATATTTTCACTTTCCTCTAGTGCTTTTCAACCAGTGCACCGTGGCACCCAGGGGCACCTTGAATGTTGGTCAGGGGTGCAGTGGGCAGCACCGGCCTCCAACCCTCCCTCCTTCCCTCCCTCCTCTGATGCCCTCTCACGTCTCTCACAAATCGAGAGATTTGTGCAGCTGTTTGTTGTAGCGGCCCTGGCCTTGGAGAAAGTAAGCATGCGAGTGAGGGTTTCCGAGGAGAGGAGGCTGAGGGAACCCTCCACAAGGGAGGGTGTCCAAAAGAGGGGTGGGGGCTGACAGCTCAGCAGGCAAGGGACAACAACAAAAGTGAGCCCCTGAGACTCGGAGCATGTTTCCCTACAGGGGAGCTGGAGAAAGAATGCAGTTGGTCAAGGGAACTGTTAACTCATAAAAGTTGAAAACCTCTGCTCTAGTACATGCAATTTGCATACATTATTTGGCTAGAACTGCATCACAAGTCAGAGAAGTGTGAATTTTCTAAGGATAGCCATGTTTCAGTTTGCATCTTTTTCCAGAAAGTGTAAATTGGCTAGGTTAGCATTAAAATCCAAACCAAATCACTTTTCTCCCCATCCCTAACAAGAGTTCAGCATGTGCTGAAGGCTGAAGTTCTGGTTGAACACAGTGGGATTTACTTCTGAATAAACAGGCATAGGATTGTCTTGCCCCTTCTCCCCCTGTATAGAATCACTGAATTGTAGAACTGGGAGGGGCCCCAAGAGTCATTCATTCATTCATTGCATTTATTTCCCACCTTCCTTCCTCCAATGAGCTCAAGGTGGCGTACAGGATTCTCACACTGCTCACTGAATGCCCACAATAACCCCGTGAGGTAAGGTCAGGCTGAGAGGCAGTGACTGGGCTGAGGTCACACCAAATGAGCTTCATGAGAATGGGGATTCGAACCCTGGAATCCTGGTCCCTTCCAGGTCCTAGGCCAACACTCTCATCCCTCCGCCGCACTGGCCAACCCCCTGCAATGTAGGGGAAGGTTACCAGATTTTACAAAGAATCCGGGGATACTTTTTTTTTTGAAAAGAGAAAAAAAATATTTTTAAAAAAGTTATTTATTTTTTTTAAAAGAAGTAATGTCTTCTCTTCTGTGGTCTCCTCTGTCGCGTGGCCTTCCTCTGGGCCCCAGCCTGCTCTCTTGGAGTGCTAGCCGCCATGGAGTAGGCTCGGGTCGGGCCAGGACTTGGCCACATGTCCTTGCCCTCCCAGTGCTCTACTACCTCTCTTCCTTCTCCTTCTCCTCTCTTCCTTCTCCCTGCGTCAGCTCCAGGGTTTTCTTGGCCCCAGAGTGCCGCTGGGCAGTCAGCTCGTGCTCTTGCTGCCAGCTCGATTTGGGTCGCAGGGGGGTCAGTGGTTTCCCCAGTTGACGCGCTGGGCGTCCCTAGTTCCCTCCCAGCAGTGGCGGCGGCAGCAGCAGTCTCAGCAGCCCAGAGCCAGCCTGGTAGCGCAGTTGGCTCTGGCTGGCCTCAGGAGCTGCTCACTGCCGTAGCGCCCGCCATTTTGCCTCAAAGGAAGTCCCCATATGATGTGTCTTGTGCCATTGAACCAATCACGCAACATTCATTCCCTACTAATAAATCTACAACACTTAAAATATAAATCCGGGGACATTAAATGAAATCCGGGGACAGATTTATAAATCCGGGGACTGTCCCCAGGAAACAGGGACGTCTGGTAACCATAATGTAGGGCACATTGTTTCGCGGGTTCAGTAAGATGTTAAAAGTGGCAAGGGGGGGGAGCGGACCACAAGGAAGACTCATGCCACACCTTAAAACCTGACAAGCAGTCAGAAGATCCTGCAGATCAAAGGTAGGGCTCTCAACCACCAGCCTCATTTGCACTTCAGTCTTCCTATGCATCTGCTCCCATTATGCAAATTAATTCCACTGGAGTCATTGTGGTTTCTTAAACAGCAACATACACCTACTTTTTTTAAAAAGGCAATGCACAAAATGGACATGCCTCACATCTGTCAATTTGCCAGCATAAACAGTCGGAAATATGGCAGTGGAAAAAGTTTATATTTTGCTACAATAGTGTTTGCATCGTTAGGTAGATCAAAGCGTCAAGATTTCAATAAATGGGGGGAATACTGTAAATAATAATAATAATTTTTTCCCAAGAAAAAGACGTGCTGGCGCTCACCATGAACCTCTCCCTTGTTCTCTTAGAATGGCAACGGTGCCCGCCTGAGAGGGGCCAGAGCTGAGCTCCAGCTGGAAAAAAAGCCCTGATAATAATAATGGTCTGGTGGAAACCAGCTTATTTCCAATTGTGTTTGAATACAAAGGAGAAAGAGTGGGTGGTGTCTTCCCCAAGGCTGTTTCTGCCCCACCTTTTAAAGAGCAAAACATTTGTAAAACGTATGGAACTCTCCAAAGATTGAAATATCTGCATACATGATATACATGGGAGAAACTGTGTATTTTTTAAACAACTTTATTATTCCTGAGGTTATCCAGAACACCAAATGGCTCAGGTATCTTCCAGGTGAATCCCCACAGGACTGGGGGGCAGTGGCTACGTGAGTGAAGCCCCCCAACATCCTAAGGCTGTCAGAGAAGATTCCCAGAAGAGGCCTCCAGTTTCCACACAGGGCAAAGGGCCCTTCAGGACGCCTTGCGACATGGGAGGCAGTGGGTGACAGTTCTGCCGAAAGGCGCTCTCTCAGACCCAAAGAATGGATGTGCCAACAGTATGAAGATGGCATTGCCTTAAAAATGCCTCTGCAGAAGACACTGAATGCACTTGCTACTCGCCAGCAGGTGGCGCCCATTCACAGATCCTCAGACTGAAGGATGGCGGTTTTTAAACGCCCCTTATTTCCAAGGAGAAGAGATCCAGCTGCCCCTGCTTGAAGTTTGGGCCTCCAAAGGGCTTGACTGTGACTGAATGCGGCCTCTTCTTAACGAGATCGTGACATCCTTTGCAGGGGAAAGAGCAGAAAAAGTAGTGTGGGGAGATAAATGGGGCGGCCATGACCACTACTGGGGGGCAGACAAGGATTTTACTGCACACCTGAAAGGCACATACCTTGTGACCCTGTCAGCTGGGGCTACACACCATTCTGGGGGTCCCATCAGCTTCCCAGGGGGGAGCAGGGGGAGGCCTTGCATTGGCTTCCAGGAGTTTCCCAGGGGGGCGGGAGTAGCCTGGGGTGCAACTGGGGGCGGGCGGTGGAAGCATAATGGAAGAAGAGAAGAAATTTTTGAAAAACCCATTCAGAGCTGTTTCATGCGTTGTGTAATGGCGCTGGCTGGCAGGTCGGGTGCAGGGCAGCAGCAATGCCTCCCCTGGACCCGGAGGTCGTGCTGGAGGGAGGGGGTTTCCCCGGCTTCGGGCATAGCTAATTGTGGTGATTTAAGAATGCTGCTGACAGAAATAGAGCCAAACATGAATAAATTGATAGCAGTGCACTAGGTTCAGCCTTCTCATTAGGATTATTTTTAATGTTATTCATAATTTTTATTTTAATGTTATCCTTCTGTAGCCTTACTGGAGTTCAACGATTGGGTCTGCGTTGCTCTGGGATAGGAGGAAGGAAGTCAAACGACACCGAGGTGGATTCAAAGAAAGAGTTTATTCTGCTCTCCAGATAGCAGAAGGCACTTGCGTTGTGAGTCCACAGCAAGTCCAAAGAAATGAGAAGTTTCATGCAGTATATACAGTGGTGCCTCGCAAGACGAAAAGAATCCGTTCCGCGATTCTCTTCGTCTAGCAGTTTTTTCGTCTTGCGAAGCAACCCCTAAGCGGATTAGCGCTATTAGCGATTTAGCGGCTTAGCGGCTATTAAAGGCTTAGCGGCTAAGCTGTTAAAAGGCTATTAACGGCTTAGCGGCTTTGAAAAAGGGGGGGAAGCGGGGGGGGGAAATGGCGAGACTCGCAAGACGTTTTCGTCTTGCGAAGCAAGCCCATAGGGAAATTCGTCTTGCGAAGCATCTCCGCAATGGAAAACCCTTTCGTCTTGCGGGTTTTTCGTCTTGCGAGGCATTCGTCTTGCGGGGCACCACTGTATATCCTCCAGGCACCCTCTCCCTCCTTCCCATATAAATCCAACCACGTCAGCCTACGTACGCAGGTGGACATCACATATGTTCCTGCTCCGGCACTCTCAACCATAAAAGGATCTTCCTTCCTGCACTTCTGACCATAAAAGGATCTTCCTCTTCCTACTCTTATCTGGGACACAGAGGTCATGATCTCTGGGAACACGCTTTTGGCCCCCATGTATTTTGTGGTGAGCACATAAGATAAAGTATTGACGTGTTTTCTTTGTTCCCCTAAAGAGTCAGGGTCATCCCTTGCCGTGACTGAGAAAGGAGAGAGCTTGTTTATGCAATTGTGTCCTTATTTTGCTTTTGCTCAACAGCTCAAGTTTTGAGCATTTAAAATGCTCTTTTTTGAAACAACAAAAGGGGGGGGGTTGAGTCAGTTTTAAACTTGCTACACAGAAACCCATTCCTTCACTTCGTTATCTTAATTTTCTGTGTGTAATGTGAATTTTACTATGGTTGATTTTACGTTATGCCAGAGGTGGTTTAGTCCTGCTGGCCACATGACCCAGAAAGCTGTCTGTGGACAAACGCCAGCTCCCTTGGCTAGTAAAGCGAGATGAGTGCCGCAACCCCAGAGTCGCCTTTGACTGGGCTTAAGCATCCAGTATTGCCTAGCTACTCTGTTCTCAGCAACAGACATTGGTCCAGTTCATAGAATCCAGCTGTGCACTTAGGGAACTGTGATGCAGAGACATAGCATGTGTTTCAATTTGTACAGTCTCTTTTCTCCCAAGCTCGTTCCATTTGTGAGGGGGCAAAATCACTTCAATAATATTTTTTAAAAAATAAATAAATTATATCTCGCCAATCTGGCTGGGCTTCCCCAGCCACTCTTGGCAGCTTACAGCACATAAAAAATTGTAAAACATTAGGCATTAAACATTTCCCAATACAGGGTTGCCTTCAGATGTCTTCTAAAAGTCAGATAGATGTTTCTTTCCTTGAATAATAATAATTTTAAAACAGCCAGAAGATTGAATGCTCACATCATAGGTTACCCCAAGATTAGGTGATCTGGTTTCAGGATTTTTTGGCTCCTTTTCAGGGGCAGCAGGAGCAGGTGTAAGACCCTGGGCAGGATTCAGCTGATGAGTTCCATCAGCAGAAGTCCTACGCAAGGCCTTCCACATGCATAACAGGGCTTCTCCCAACCTTATCTTTTCTAAAACGTTATTGTCTCACATCAAATATAAACGATCTCTAGAAAAGAAAACAGAAAACTGAAAACAGACACTGTATGTACTTATGTAACCCAAGAAAATTTTTAATAAAACAATTTTTAAAATAACAACAGGGCTTCCACCTCCCTCTCCAAGCCTCCCCATTTATTAATTTTATTTACTTATTTCATAAAATGTATATACTGCTTGACTGTAGGAAACCTGAAAGTGGCTTACAAAAAAAGACAGAACAATAAAATTATCTCTAAAAAAAATTTACAACCATAAATTAAAATATACAGAAGATTAAAACCACAGTAAAATAGACTAAAACCAATTTAAACTCCTTTCAGAATATCTGGGTAGGCTTGTCTAAATAAGAACATCTTCAGCAGGTGCTGAAAGGACTACAGTGAAGGCGCCTGAGAGCCAGGGGCTGGGCGTTCCAGTGTTGATGCTGCCACACTAAAAAATCAAGTGCTGACAGATGTGGGTCATGTGCAGCCTCTGTGAAGGTGCCAGTTCTGCCAACAGAAGTGGTCAAGCGGTCATATGTGGGGCAAGGTGATCTCAGATGTAAACTGATCCCAAGTTGTTAAGGACTTTATATGCTAATAGGAACACCTTGAACTTGGCCTGGGAGTCAGCAGGCAACCAGCGCAGATCTCTGAGCAGAGGTGCTCTATGCTGACAAGGAGTCTCTTCTGCCAGCAATTGTGCTGCAGCATCCTGCACTGTCTTGCAGCTTCCAGACCAAGTGCCAGCGAAGCCCCACATACAGCACTGCAGCAATCCAGCCTTGAAATGCACATGAAGCCACTTTAGAAAGTTGGTGTGTCAGGGCCTCCCAGGTGTTCTTTTACTGAGAGGTGGTTGGACTAGATGACACTCAGGGTTCCTTCCAACTCTACAGTTACATGATTCTATGATTTATTTGCAGTGATAAACCTCTTTAAAATTTTATTGTGCTTTTAATTGTTGGGAGCCGCCCAGAGTAGTTGGGGCAACCCAGCCAGATGGGTGGGGTATAAATAATAAATTATTCTTGTTATTAATTATTACTATTATTAAAAATCTCTAATGTCTAAGGTATGGAAAGTCTACAGAATAATAATAGTGAAATATCCTTGAATTTTAAATTCAGAGCATTCCCATTTTTATATATGGTTGCATGATAACACTGACAGAGCAGCTAAGGAAGCATAATCACATCATATGCCGTCTGCCTCTCAGAAGACACCGTGTCCCACATACTGTTCTTCCTGGTAACAGAGACTCACCATGCTGCAGTGAAAGTTTCATTCATTCAGGAGATGGCATGAACAGAATTTAGCAAACAATTTTATTCTCCAGGCAATAAGACAAGAACATAAAAATAAATTCATTGAGAATGACTTGCTAGATTTTGATGCAAGAAAATTAACTTGCAGTCCCTTCAATTCAGTTGCTGTTTGGGTGCTCAGCCTCCAGAATAGAAGCTCAAAGATTTTTGAAACAGTGGGGTAATTCTCCTATACAAGGTTAGATTTAAAACAAGGAGTCATTTAAAAAAATCTAGATGACAAGTTCAAGGTTCTGCAAGAGCGCTTTCCTCCTATTCTAATGTATGTAGACCATTTCATACATTTTAGGCATACACCCATAAAGCATAATTCACAAAGCAGATTTTGTTGGTGTTTTTACATATAAATGTGGCTTTGAGCCACATGTGCAAAAATGAAACTTTAAACTCGTGGAAGTGTGGAAAAACTGAGCATATGGAAACACATGACCCAACATTTTTCAGCAGTCATTTAAAAGCCTACATTATTTTTAAACCATTCTCATATCCTTCACATTTAAGACTTCAGCCTGGCCTGACACTGAAAAAGACAAGTTGTCTTAGAGTTATGACATGTAGTATCTTTAAAGAAGAGAATCCTGAGTTCATGGATCATGATAAAAAACCATTTTATGTTGACTATGCCACCACATAAGAATCTTGGCTTTCCTTTAAGACCCAACTGGTGCCAGATTGCACCCTGGAAGAGCTTGGATGGTCCAAGAAGGAGACAATTGTTTTCACAATGCAAAATGCAATCATGATCTTGCCGGCTTATAGTCCCAGTGGGGTGAGGTGAAGGATCCAGGCAGACACTTCATTTCACACTGCAGGAATGAAAATCTAAGTTCTGAAAGCATCCACTGCTGGGGAAATAGTCCATCCTTAATGAGGCTCTTCCATCCTTCTGCCTTCAACACACCTGCCTGAACTCTTTGTGTTGCTTCTTACTGAGTAACTGAATGTTGTCAGCTATCTCTCAAAGCTTATGCTCTGGCAGCTTTTACCCTCCCCCCCCCCCGACCTGTAAGCATGAGAGTCCAACACTCCAGTTCTCAAAACTTCAAGATTCCAAGGCTTGGATGGAAGAGAAGGTTTTAAGAAAACATAAAAGGGACAAGTTTCTGATCACAAGTCTTTTTCTGAAAGTGCAGAAACCATCCAAACTCCTTAAGACAAAGTCCAGTTGGAGCACTGCCCATCAGTTGTTCAGCATCTCAAGAATGCTTTCCCATTTTCTCCCCCTGATCACTGGCTAAGTGGGGAGGATGAACCTGAATAACAACTGCAACTTGCTGGCATGGGCTCAAGTTCCTCTTCAGCTTATAGCAGCCACCTGTCCACTTAAACATTCACAGACTATACGTTGCCATTCAGGCACTTTTGCTCCATGGGGCTTCCCGTTACTTGCTGCTGCTGCCGCCGTCTTAGGTGGTACTTCTTGATCTTACTTCTGTAGTGCATGTAATAAGCCACCCCTACTGCAGAAGAAATAAACACTGCGCAGAGAACCCCAATTATGATTCCAAGGATGTCAGGCTGGTAAGCTGTGAAAGGCAAAGACAAGTGGGTTAAGGTTATGGGCCTAAGAATTCTGCAGGGCTGCAAATCTGCAGAACACACACAGCTTTGCTTTTTAAAGGGCAAAATTCAAGCCCTCGTGATTGAAAGGACGTGTAGGTTGCTAAACACCAAAAGCTCAAGTAAATGAGCCTGGACCAGTGGACCACAGAGATTCTTGCCTCTTTCGCTAACTTTAAGACCTCTGGTGATTCCTACACTTGTGTTGCTGTTGAATGCTAGGTGTGACTAATCCTCCAAAACTAGCTGCTTTCTGGAAGTTCCTGGTATTTTAAGGGTTGGAAGTCTGGTTGCAAATTGAAATGCTAAGACAATTGAGCTAATCTGCACATTTCCGAAAGTGGAATTTTGTGTAGGCTACACACAAATTGGAGGTTATGAAGCACTAAGGCCTATCAAAGGGAACACAGGAGCAAGTGTCGGAAGAGTCAAGTCCGCTGATTTGGGAACCTGAAGGCATCACTATTACCTGTGGTAAGTGCACACTTTTATGTTGGCCCACGGTCGTCTCTGACTTTGAGGCTGAGAATATGCGACTTCCAGAGGCTGGCACCTGACAAAAGCTGTTCAGCGAGCCAACAAGCGTGTGCAAGATTTCAACAGCACTCACATCAAAACCCAAAAGAGTCTTTCCGTTGGACCTGTGCAATTAATGCCTGCGGGTTGTTAGACAACCTGGCCAGTGGCCTGGCTCGGCTTGGCATCCCATATCCAGCTGTGTACTATCTCCAATCCAGAAAGATTGAGGAAGGTTCTTTCTGTTGGCCTCCTTGGGATCAATTTATAACCTACATTTTGGTCCTGCTCTTTAGCAGAGTAATTTTAAATAATTCCACATTCTTGGCAGTCTGCTACAAATCCAAACCATGCGAGTCTCTCTCTCTCTCTCTCTCTCTCTCTCTCTCTCTCTCTCTCTCTCTCTCCTTCTCGTGTGTGTTTGTGTGTGTGTGTTTCATTGGAAGACGATTTGGACAAGGAGGTTAACTTACATTCAATGTGTATGATCACATCTCTTACATCAAATCCATAGGCGTTGGTGGCATTGCAATGATAGATGCCACCATGCTCTTTTGAGACTTGCTGCTGTATCCCAATGTTGTATGACACCTCATCTTTCCTGCATTCAACAGTTGGTGGTGGGTTTCCTGAGGCTGAACAGATAAAGGTCTCTTCACTGCCATCCTTCCAGGTCAACTTATCAGGGCAGCTAGAATCACTCATTTGGGGCGCATCTGGAATGGAGAAGACAAACGTGGTTGTTTTGCCTTGGCCATAAGGGATGAATTGCAGCATCTTATTTCATCATTGCAAAACCGCATAAGATTTGGTGGTAATCTTGTGCCCTTTAGGCAGCGTGCACAGGAAGCTCGTGGATCCTAGAAGCCACCTGGATGCTCCAGTCTAGCAGCTTGCACAGAAACTTGAGAATCCCAAGGCTAGTCCATGCATCCGTATTCACTGCAGGATGCATGTGTGAATAAACCACCAGAGGCCAAGCACCATAGACGGAAGTGTTGTATCGCTTCAGATCACAGAATGCATTTCAGCTGAGCTCAGTTCATACATTCAGGGTCAAAACAGATGTGATGTCAGGAGTTAACATCCATAATCCAGTCCTACAATTATTATTTCTTCTTCTCCCGTCCAAGCGGGAGATAACTAGAGCATGCACCACTCTGGCGGACTGTCTCGCCAGAGTGGTGCATGCTCTAGTTATCTCCCGCTTGGACTACTGCAATGCGCTCTACGTGGGGCTACCTTTGAAGGTGACTCGGAAACTACAGCTAATCCAGAATGCGGCAGCTAGACTGGTGACTGGGGGCGGCCGCCGAGACCACATAACACCGGTCTTGAAAGACCTACATTGGCTCCCAGTACGTTTCCGAGCACAATTCAAAGTGCTGGTGTTGACCTTTAAAGCCCTAAATGGCCTCGGCCCAGTATACCTGAAGGAGCGTCTCCACCCCCATCGTTCTGCCCGGACGCTGAGGTCCAGCTCCGAGGGCCTTCTGGCGGTTCCCTCATTGCGAGAAGCAAAGCTACAGGGAACCAGGCAGAGGGCCTTTTCGGTAGTGGCGCCTGCCCTGTGGAATGCCCTCCCATCAGATGTCAAAACGATAAACAACTACCTGACATTCAGAAGACATCTTAAGGCAGCCCTGTTCAGGGAAGTTTTTAATGTATGATATTTTAGTGGGGTTTTTGGTTTCTATGGAAGCCGCCCAGAGTGGCTGGGGAAACCCAGCCAGATGGGCGGGGTACAAATAATAAATTATTATTATTATTATTATTAAAGAAAACATGCTAAAAGAAACCACAGGAGGGGTTGGGGGTGGGAATTGAACCACAGCACTGGAGGGAGTACACACACACACACACACACACACACACTCATAGGTACTAGTATATCCCTTGCACACACCATTTAGTATCTCTCACTGGGACAATTTGGACCAATGAAATGGTTGAGGGAGGGAGGTTAACACACTCCCAGCTAAATGGCACGGGTCTGAATCAGCCCCTCCCTGCCCCTGGTGTCACTGTTTAAAAAGAACCGGACATCCAAACACAATCCTCCCAGCATCGAACATCACATCAGATGTGAATAATCAGGAGTTGATCAGGTTGTGTAAGTGGCTCCAAGATTTGAGAAAATGCATTGGGAACTGACACTGGGAAAAGGTACAGCTATAGGACCTGTGCATGGGTAGGAAAGACCTGATGGCTTCCAAGAATAACCTCCCATTTTATAGGCCAGCTTCTCAAGCAATTTCCCTAACCCTTATTTTCTCATTCATGGAAATTAATTAATTAACCTTACACAATAATTAACCCCACAAATTGTGCATATATCACACTGATCCCAATGATGAGCTAAATCTATATTTGGTCTGCACCACTTCAGAAGGCAGGGGATAGTGGGGGCTGACATGACTCAGTGTTCCATGATGCAAACAAAAGATTAAAAACTAGCATATAAGGGAGAAGGCCAGGCCTGTTTTTGAAGTGCAGGGATTGATTGTTGTGCTGTTTTTGTTGTAATTATTTGTATATTTAATTGTGTGTGTGCGGTTTTAATTCTACCAATGTTTAATTGTTTTTTAATGATTGGGGGGTTTTTCTATGTTTTTAGTGGTTCTTATTTTTATCTGTTAGCTTCCTTGAGTTCTGTCAGGAGAAAAATCGGAATATAAATAAATCAACAACCACCATGTATAAAATAGCTCTCAGCCATGTGAGCCCCTGTCTACAGTCTGAAGTGGTACAGTCCAAGCACAGGCTGCCTCATGCAGAACTAGGCCTATATATATGGACGACAAGCTGCACAGGTTGGATAATTCATTCCCACTGCATAATTTATTTATTCTTTGTTGCATAATGCGAAGAGTTCTGAATCTCTAGAAATAAAATATTGTTCAGAAGAGCATTTCCTACTCACAGAAGACAGTGAGATTTGCAGCTGTCTCTTTCACAACCGAGCGCCCATCAACTTTCAGCTCCACTTTGCACATGAATTGCCTCCCATTATCCTCTTTCTGGGCCATCAGTGAATACTGCAGAGAAGGACCATCTCCGGATAGTAAGATCTCCTGGGTGTCACTGATCCGCATGACGACACCAGGGGACTTGGAGCCATCAGACCTGCACATAACTGTCACGTTTGTGTTGACAGGGATTTGGGGGTGGTCAATGTGCAGGGTGGGTTTGGGCAAACCTGCAAGAGAACGTAGCAGAACAGCCATTACATATCTAGATTGCTTGACTGACTATAATTATTACACCATGAGCTAAACCTTATCAAGTTAAAAATTTTGGTGAATTTTTAAAATAGGCTTGAGGTAAATTGGCAGGTTTTAGCCATGATGGTGAAATAGCTTAGAGCTCTCCATGCTTAGAGGCAGTGTACAAAAGGTAACAGGTAATAGATAAAGGACCTCTGGATGCTTAAGTCCAATCAAAGGCGACTATGGGATGAGGCAGTCATTTTGCTTCAGGCTGAGGGAGCCGGCGTTTGTCCACAGACAGTTTTCTGGGCCATATGGCCAGCGTGACTAAACCACTTCTGGTACAATGGAACACCATGATGGAAGCCACAGCATGCGGAAACACCATCTACCTTCCCACTGCAGTAGTACCTATTTATCTACTTGCATTGGTATGCTTTCAAACTGCTAGGTTGGCAGGAGCTGGGGCAGAGCAACGGGAGCTCACTCCATCATGCGGATTTGACCTTCCGATTAGCAAGCCCAAGAGGCTCAGTGGTTTAGGCCACAGCGTCACCCACTCCCTGTACCTGTGCCAGGCAGGGTATCAGATGCTAGGGACAAACAGGAGGGGCAGGGGAAGCTGTTTCTTTTCCCTACTGTTTGTGGGCTTCCTGGAAGCATCCAGCAGGGCCAGACAAACTGATCTAGATGCTTTTTTGGACAGGCAGGAAAGTTCCAGTCTGTTGCTCAACCCATTCATCATCCCCCTCTTGATGTGGAGACGTTGGCCCGACTCTGCTCCCTGGAATTGCATGTTGAAAGGCTGTTAACTAATGGGAGCCAAATGTCTGTCATTTTGACAGGCATGCAGGGAAGACCTATGCCTGGCAGCCCCACTGCAAAAGGCTGTACTTTATAGGTGTTGGGCCAACAAATGCTGGTGGAATGAGCTCAGGATTAGCCTGCTGAAGAGGAGACTGAGAAGAAATATGATAGCCAGCTTGAAATATCTCAAGGGCTTTCACATGGAAGAGGGAAGAAGCTTGTTTTCTCCTGCTCCGGAGGCTAGGACCTGAACCAATGGTTTCTAGTTACAAGAAAGGAGATTCCGACAAAACATCAGGAATAAGTTTCTGATAGTAGGAGCTGTTTGACAGCGAAGCATGAGAGGTGGTGGGCTCTCCTTCATTTGAGGTTTTTAAGCAGAGGTTGGGTGGTCTCCTGTCATGGATGCTTTAGTTGAGAATCCTGCATTGCAGGCGGTTGGACTAGGTGATCCTCAGGTCATTTCCAACTCTACAATTTTGATTCTATGAAATCCAGAAATGATACTCACTGTAAACATTCACAGTACTCTCTGCAGTTTTGGTCACTGGCCCCAGAGAGACTATGCAGATCAACTGATGTTCTCCTGCTGATATTGAGGTCACCTGAGCCTGGGCACTCACTTTGTGCCCTGATATGTGGTTGCTGGAGTTCAATCTCTCCCCTGCAAAGAACAGCTGAAACGCTGCCTTTTGAACCGGAAAAAGTCCAGACACCTCACATTCCACAGGCATGCTAGTATTGATCTCTACAGAGCCCAAAGTTTGAAGATATGGGTCCATGGGGAAAACTGAAAACCATGAAAGAAATCATATCAGTTATGAAAAGAGATATCACTCCCATAAACAGGCAGTGACCACTGATGCCAACAGAAATAAAAACAAAGCTACTGAAGAAATAAACTAGAGGTTTGCAGAAGTTAAAACAAGTGAGCTTTCCCAAAAAACAAAGGAAGGCAGTAAATATATCCAAACCAGCCCAATGAACATCAAGCCTGCTCAGTTGGCTTAGATGTTAGTTGGCTTCCATGGACTTACTGCCCTCTCTGGTTTGTGGCAGATGGAAATAAATCATAAGCAAAATTACAGGTAGCCACCTATACCAAAAAGATTACAACCAGTTGCAGTTTCATTCAGTACCCCCAGCCTTGCAGATACAGTAGCCCTGTCTGCACCCCAATGCCATTTCATAAATAAAAATGAAATAGATCCATCATGGATGCAAAAGAGAAGCAAGAAAGAGTGTCCTTTCTGACATCCAAGGGTATCTGTATGGGGGAGTGACAATGCAGGGTGGGGGGGGCTCCATTACTTCCAGAGTTTCTGCTTGGATTTATGCCCATTAGCAGTCAATGAATCTGCTTCTTTTGCCATTGTGCCCACTTCTTTTAGAGGACGTGGGGCCTCTGATGTGAACTCACCAACAGTCTCCAGCGATTTGCTGAGGGAAGCCATTTCCAAGTAGGGCCCTTCCGGCCTCAGGTCCAGAACTGCACGGCAGGTGACTTCCTCTCCGTGGTCATTCTGCTGAGCGGTGATGCTGTTGCTTGTCACCACAACATTGCCGGCTTCAGGATTCCTGTGGTCCTCAAAGGTCTCCACATACAGCCTCCTCTCCCCTTGATACAAGGTCACGGTGAGGTTCCAGATGGGGGCAACAATGAAAACTCGACAAGTCACATTATACTCCTTACCCACCTCCACCTCGGGCAGCGGATCCAACACTACGCGCTCCGGAGCTCCTGGAACGGAATAAAAAGTGATAAATCCTATTGATTTGACTTTCTTCAATAACGTTTTATTCTGGATTGTTGTTGTTTTTTAAATGTTGTAAACCAGTTTGAGATTTCCCCCCATAAAAATAAAGCAGTATAGAAATGAAATGAGTAATGATAATAATTTATTTCATTTACAGATCACTTCCTATGAAACAGGTCAAAGCAATTTAACAATAAAAAAAAATGCATAAACAATTGAGTATCAAATACCACCCAATCTTCATTGGTTAATAAAATTCAGAAGTAATGGAAAAAGAAAGGATACACGTTCTGTGTTTCTTTCTACGCCAGTCTTGGGACCGATCCCTGCCGGGCATCTCAGGACCAGGGGGGCAGCATGTCCAGACCTTCAGGATGAGACCCATGAGGTCTCTGCTTCAACTAGGCAGCCCCTCTCACCCCACTGCCGTCTTCCCTCCTGCCTTTGCAAAGATAATTTTGCTTGGGAACCAAGTGGGGCTGACAGAGAGGGCTGACTTGGGCAAAGCCATTAAGAGCTAAGAAAGGACAAAACTTCCGGGCATGCCACAGCAGGCTGAATTATGCAAAATATTAAAAGTGGCAGGAAGCATGCCCATTTGATTAATTTACATAATGTTTACAGGTTGCAGAATGTATCCCTTCAAGGCACAGACATTTCCACTGTCGACTAAAGCGTCATCAAGGATGGGGCAATGAAGGGAATTCTATAACTTGGGGGCTACCGCAGCAAGGCCCTGCCCCTTGTTCTCAGCAAGTGAACCTCTTTCGATGGCGGGTAAACCCTCCAGGCTTCTCTATCTGGTTCTCAGAACTCTCCTCAAGCTGCAGCCCCTTTCCCCAGACCATGCCCCTCACCAGCCCAGTTCTGCAGCCTCACTGAATGATTTTGCCTGTTTGGAATATGTCCTTGAACTTGGATGTCTCTTCCTTGTCTGGATGGAGGATAGAGAAGATGCATGAGTGTAAATTGGACATTAATTTCTCCACCCACTTTTGCATCTGGCCCTGTCCACCGCTGGTAGTGCCCCTGGGCTGTCCAGAAAAGAATGCAGCCCTTGGGCTGGACAAAGTTTGCCCAACTCTGAGGTGGGCCAAGCAGCTGGGCCTTGGAAGGGAACCTCAACCTCTGGGCAAATGGCTCTAAGCTGCTTGGGGCTTTTGAGGTTGGCACCTGCCTTTCACTTTACAAGGAAACTTCCAGGGCAGCTTAAAAAACAAAAGCATAAAAACAAAGCTCTTTTAATAAAAACACTCTATAGCTGCACTGCATTTCAAATTGTTCTTTCTTTCTGCTGTTAAACTGCTTTGAGATGCTTTATAAGAAGTGATTCATAAATAGAATCAAACAAATAATAGTAACAGGAGGAATTGCAGTGCAGCAACATAGAAGTGAACATCAACAGCATTCAAAGCAGATTTAAATGAGGAAATAAAAGAAAAACCAAAGGCCTGGGCAAATACAGAAGTATCCTGCTGGTGCTGAAAATGCAACAGCATCAGCACCACAGTGAACTACTCTGGGGAGACAGTCCTGAAGACAGGGCTCCCATTCCAGGATCACAAATGACTGTGCAGGAGATCCCTACCTGGTCCCCTGGACAGCCACTCCAAGTTAGATTACCGGGTTATGTGGATTCAGAAAGCAGCTTTGCATGCTCAGGGTAGTAGCCAGCCACTTTCTTTCCTGGCCTCTTGCTGAATTTGAATCCATGTCCCTCCTATTTTCCACTGAATAACCTTCAAGACAAGCAGCACTCCAAATCCTCTGCCCTGAGTGAATGATTATTCCAGGACTGCCCAGTATATGACTTACGGTAAACTGTGGTGGTTATCCTCTGATATTTCTGCTCTGTCCCCCCACAGGTAGCAAAACACAATGGCTTTGGTTCCCACTCAGTAACACTGGTGAGATTGAAGGCTTTCCAAGCAGGCCCAGTCCCTGCAGCAACGGTCTGTAAGCTGGTCTCCAAGCCAATGTTCTCACAATTGGAACTGCAGTTTAATACCATGGAATCTCCATACTTCACTGCAGGCTTTTCTGGCCAAATCCTCAAGTAGTAGTCCTCTTGTTGAGCCTCTGAAAACACAATAGATACGAAATGGAAACAAGAAGAATTACCGACAAAAGAAGAGTGGCAAATGAAGTTAATGGACTATGCAAAATTAGATAAATTAACAGGATGGATTCAAAACCTGCGGGATCAGAGATTCTTAGAAGACTGGAGTAAATATTTGAATTATTTAAAAAGCAATTGTAATAAACAGATTACGCTAGTAGGACTGCAATAAGTTTCTGTAAGGAGGAATGTGTGAAATATTGCAATGAAGATTATGAAGAGAATTATTAGTTAATGATAAGTAAAAGTAATAGAGAAATTAAGAAATGCAGAATACAAGTGATAAAGTATGGAAAATCTTCAGAGGTTGTTGATGGAAGTCTAAAATATTGTGTAAGATAAGAATTTATGTTAAATGATTGTTGGAAATGATATGTTAAAAAATCAATAAAAATGTACAAAAAAAGAAAATACAATAGATACAACATGTACAAAAGTGCAATACTAAATAGTTCTTAATTTTAAAAAACCCAATAAGAAGCAATAAAATGGTGAGATCACAGTGGGGGAAAAGAAGCAAGGAAAAGGCAAAAGAAAGAAAGTAGTAATACCAAATAAGGTGAAACTGAATAAGGTGAACTCTGCAGTTCCACAGATTGTTTCCCTTATCTCCTTCAGTCCAGAATACGCCTGTTTTTAGCCAAATCTTATTAATTTTTAAGAAACAGGTGTCCCTGCTCTAGAGAATGACTCCAGAGAGTGCCCAGTTTCCGTGCCAGGCTTGGCACCCAAAGTCCTCTGCCCCCACATCTTGTTGCAGCGGCCAGATAACGGACTCCGCGAGTAAGACAGCCCTCTCCTACCCTGGAGAGGTTGGCAGGACTAATTACCCTCTTATTAGCCCTGAATTTCTGGCACGACTGGGGGTCCGACCTCATGGGAAACAGCCATTTCCCTCAGCAGGAAACATAACTCAGCTGATAAAGCACAAGACTCACGGTTGTGGGTTTGAGCCCCACGTTGGGCAAAATATTCCTGCACTGCAGGGGGTTGGACTAGATTATCCTCATAATCCAACTCTACAATTCTGTGCTCCTTCTGGGGTAGTTTGTCCACCTTTGATCCCCACCCAGCTCTCACCTGTGGCTCCTTGAAGCTGTTGGCATGTGACAGCAGCCACACCCCAGAAATGGCTTTGACTGGCCAGCTTAACCACATGAGGGTACCCAATGGGACTTCCCCTGCATGTGAAGACAGGCTCTGGCAGATTAAGTGGAGGAAACCAAGAGTGGGCCACAATGGTCAAGAATCTGTTTTCTGCACGTGCTGTAGAGGGGCAGATGGGGATCATCAACCTGGGAAGGCAGCCCGTCTAGGAGAAGGAAACTCTGATCCTAAACCTCCACTGCCTTGTGGTTATACTCATTCATGAGAAAGGCTTTGGGCATAAACCCTGACAAGAAATCCATACCTGCTGCCTCACAGGACATCTTCAGGAGAAGAAAAGGCTAAGGAGCAAAACCTACACAAATTCAGAGTGGAGTCCAAAAGATTTTGGCCTTGTATGCCTCTTTCCGGCAACTCTTGCAGCCAGCTGGTGCCAAGAGTATCACTCTGCTTTCCTTTGGACCACATCAGTGAGGCCAAGAAGGCGTCTTGTAATCTGGGCAGCCCAGGACCTTCATACATACTATCCAAGCTTGTGCCCCACAGAGGTCACTTCGGGGCTGCGAACACAGCAAATCCAACGCAGGAGTCAGCAGTTACCAGTTACCAGTTTCTGCAGCCACAACAGGCGCTATGATTCTCCAGCGGTTTGACTCCCCCCCGAGAGGCGAATTGGGTCCATTGAGACAGACGGATGCCAACAACAACAAATGATATTTTAAATCAGGCATAGGCAAACTCTGGCCCTCCAGATGTTTGGGACTATAACTCCCATCATCCCTAGCTATCAGAACCAGTGGTCAAGGATGATGGGAATTGTAGTCCCAAACATCTGGAGAGCCAGGTTTGCATATGCCTGGTTTAAATCCATTAATGGTACTGATTAGCCACTGAAATACTGGAGTCCTTTTGCTTCTATTTTTAAACAGAGGCTTCTGTCCGTGGAACCAATGCCTTCTCCTCCCTCCCCCATGATTCCTGAGAATTAAGAACAGAGGCACTGTAATAGAAATGCCTTAGGTGTGACTTTAAATCTCCTTTGAGGAGACTTTAGGGCTTCCTTTTTCCTTTGTTTAATGACTCACTTTTTGACTTGCTCTTTAGACTGCTGCCAGTAGATCAAGAAGAGGAATTCCCTGCCACTCCTTGTTCTGATTAGCGCTGAAAGAAAATCAGACCCTTTCCAGGAATGGCTCAACTCAGCAAGTGAATTACAAGAAGAAATACTGGGGCGGGAAGGAGGAATACATCAAACCCTTGGAATGCAAGGCTACACAAACACACAGACTAGGGATCGCAAGCCCCAGAAAACACAGAGGAACCTAACTCTGCCAACATGCGTATAAAGGTAAAGGGACCCCTGACCGTTAGGTCCAGTCGTGGTTGCTATCTCCCCAGAAGAAATATTCCTTATCGACATCTAACCCTTCCATCCCAATAATCTCACTTTGCAAATAAAAGGAAATACCGGTAATAGTAGTGGGACCTTCAATCTGGAAACCTCCAGTCACTTGGTTTCATTACTCAGAGTGAAATGCTAATTTCTCAGGACCTCACTTAAGCAGATGTTTGTTTTGGGGAAACACTTTGAAGGACTATGGGGGATCTGTGATTAGATGTCTCTTTAAAACAAAAACTTAGCAGCGGGGGGGGGGGGGGGGCTAAAGAAGAGCTTTAGACTGCCTCCCTCCCAAAGTAGTATTTGTCCCATAAGGGAAAACAAGTATCGTATGGTTGGCATCTGTCTGGTCTCAGGAGACAATGGAAGAGTGCACCTCAGGAGTGAAGTCAAAAAATGAATTGGGATTTTTATTTTGTGAGGTGGTGGGTTCCACTTAAAGGCTGACAGCTTAATTTAGAATAGGAAGATACCTGCTTTAAAAAACCCAGTAACAGTGCAGCTTATTCACCCCCACAAAAGGGGTAATATCGCAATTCAAACCTTGCCCACCTTACCCCCCCCCCAACTCTGAACACCTAGGATTCCTCATGACTCAAGGGAATATTCAGCATGGACCCTGTAATCACATTCGCTGTGATTGGGAGTGGAGAATGATAGGGAGAAATCCCCTTCTAGTTATGAACTGTGAACATGTTAAGAGTGCAACCCTATATGTCTATCATAACATCTACTCAATAAGACATTGAGAAAGTTAAGTGCTCAACAATTCACGGACACGAAAATATACCCCCTCCCCAAAAAAAACCCTGAGTGTGGCAAAAGGGATATAAACGTTTGTGTTGGCTATATAACAATGCCACTCAGAAAAGCATTTTGGCGCAGTGGAGAGGTGACAAACACAAGCAGCCTTCATGGCGAAGGTGGAGAGGCAGAGCTGAATCTGGACTTTCCACATGCAAACTCAATACTGTAGCCCAAGCCTCCCAACCTGATGTCCTTTAGATATTCCAACTACTACAACTCCCATCATTCCTAACTACAATGGTACCTCGGGTTACAAACTTAATTCGTTCCGGAGGTCCGTTCTTAATCTGAAACTGTTCTTAACCTGAGGTACCACTTTAGCTAATGGGGCCTCCTGCTGCCGCCGCTGCGTGATTTCTATTGTCATCCTGAAGCAAAGTTCTTAACCAGAAGTACTACTTCTGGGTTAGCAGAGTCTGTAACCCGAGGTGTTTATAACCCGAGGTACCACTGTATTCACCACTGGGAGTTGAAATCTCCCTCAGGAGGTGGTGAACGCTCCTTCCTTGGAGGTTTTTAAGCAGAGATTGTATGGTCATCTGTCATGGCTGCTTTAGCTGAGATTCCTGCATTGCAGGGGTTGGACTAGATGACCCTCAGGGTCCCTTCCAACTCTAAAATCCTATGATTCTATGATTCTTTTGGTCTAATATCTGGAGGGCACCAGTTTTTGGAAGCCTGTCATCAAACACTGCCTGTTTTGTCTGGCAAAGGGATGCACCTACACGTGATGCAGAACATTCATGATTAGGGTTGCAATCCTCTGCACACACAGCCGGGAGTTGTTGCCGGCATCCATTTGTCTCGAGGGACAAGGCATCACCAGGGGTGAAGTCAAGCTGCTGGAGAATCATAGTGTCTGCTGTGGCTGCAGAAACTGGTAACTTGTAACTACTGCTTCCAGCATTTTTAAAATTTGTACGGAGGTCCTGGGCTGGCCAGATGGCAAGACTGATATGTCTGTATCAGAGTGAAAAGGTTTTTGGAAGCCACATGGCAGCAACTTGTATTTGCCACTGAGTGCAGCTCAGGCCTGGGCATTCCAGACTTCGTCTCTGGGGAGTTTCCCCAGGCCACACCCTCTAACTGGCCCTGTTCTGCACCAGCCCCCAGTGCGTTTCCCTGCCTTAAACTGTGACGATGCCTCCCATGCGCCTGGATGGGGAGGACGTGCGTGTGGAAACCCCCAATTCTTGTGCAGCTGGAAGGCGTTCTGTGCAAAGATTAGAGTCACACCCATTGCTTTGCTCACCTTTTGCGTCTGGCCTTGCCATGCAGTCCCCCTCAGGCTGAAAAAGGCTCCCCACCCCTGGTGCACAACTAATCTTGCCTTTCTGATGAGCATATTATGTCTGTGTTTGTCTCAACTCCCCTACATCAATACATATGGGGGAGAGTGGTCATTTGAATTGAGGGAAAACAGGCATTTGGAATTCCACAAGGAAGACTAAAGTATAAAATGGCTTTAGTGCTGAGTATTTTCATTATATAAATTTGTGGGTTGGTTTGTTAGCTATTCCCCCCCCCCTTCTCTGTTCTATGTAACTCCAGAGATGCACCCGCTTCCAAAGGCTGTGTTCTCTGAACCAGTGAAGCAAAACTGTGTCTCCACTCTTAAGACAAATGCAGTGGATATCGACAAGGCAGCAAGAATGCAAACACAATGCTGGGAGAGAATTCTCTCTGGGCCCGGGGACATGGACATATGAAGCTGTCAGACAGCTGCTCCATCTAGAGAGTGATCAGGAGTAGGCAAACTTCAAGCTTGTTAGAAATACCTTGTTTTTAATAAGAACCCCAAGATCTACAAACCAGAGGCAGGTGCAAAAGACATACAGTTAGAATTAAAGATCTGAGCATGTTCTCCTTCTAGGGATTTCTTTTTAGTACCAGAACTGAACTGAGCTCTGATCACGTCCTTTTACACACACACAAAAAGGTCTGCCTCTTGTTTAGCTTTCTTCATCTCGCCATTCTAATTTTAGATAGAAAAAGAAATGTTGCTTTAAAAACAGCTGGGAGTCAGAAAGCTGCAAACCCAGAGGCCAGGCAGAAGATCTGCCCTCTACCTAGCAGTTCTCTCCAAGGTCTCTGACAGTGACTCTCCAGCATTGGGACCTGGGATCCTTCTAGCTAGTGATTCTACCAGGAATTGGACCTGGGTTGTTCTGCATCCAAAGCATGTGTTTGAACCCTGGGCTTTTGCCCTCCTGGACATTTTACCTACATTGAGCTGAGCTTGAGGAGGCTGCCCAGCAGGACCCAAACAATCACAGAACCAGAGAATGTTTCCACCAGAGATTGGAATGGTGTGTATGTTGTTGTTGTGATTTGTGTGTGAAAGAGACCCTTTGCTCTTAGTGAATGTGAACTCATACTTTGGCACCATAGCAATTTTTAAAAAAAGTTTCACAACTGTGTCTGTTTCATCTGCTCTAACTGAAATTTTAATTGAAGCCAGCTGCATTGACATCTTTCTTGTTTTCTTCTTGTAATTTTGCACTACTAGAGTTCATGAACCATAGAATGAATTCATTTTCATTCACCTCTCACACTCCTGAGTCCTTCCATAGATATACTAATCAGTTCACTCACAGAATCAGGCAGAAGGTACCTTCTTTATGAGTAAAAAAATTATGTTCAAGGAGGAAAAAGTACACTCAGCTGTTGTGTGAAAGTAGCCAGAAAGGAATTGCTGCTGCTTTTCTCATTCCAGGAAGCATAACACGAAGGTCAAGCAAAGCTCAGGGCTAAGAAAGGTAGTAATGCGACCCTGCGCCTCAGCCCAAGAGGAGGGGAGGCTGGGGGATTCAGGGCAACCCCTTCCCCTCCTCAAACCGGGAGGGGCCAGCAAGCAGGGGGAAGCGGGGAGCCCGGTCACAGATGTAAGCGAAATAAAACCTCTTTCCAATGCCGTGGCTCAACCCCGTGAAGTCTGGCTCAGAGAAAGGGCCTCTGAGCATAGGGAGAGTGCATTTCTGACCATTCGCCCCTTTTCTAAAACGGCGAGCTCCTGGTTTCAGCCTCTGAGCCTCGCCCTCGCCCGCCCCAGGACCGGCGGACAGGGGCGCCCGGAAAGGCCGACTCCCTTCCCGCCCTTACCTTGCGCGGCAGAGCAAGCGGCCGAGGCCAGCAGCAGCAGCAGCAGGAGGAGGAGGGCGGCGGCGGGCAGGCGCGGCATGGCGCGGAGCGGGCGCTGCGGCCGGAGAGCCCTTCAGGTGCGCGGGCCACGCCGAATCAGTCCCGCCAGGCTGCCGCCGGAGCATCCGCTGGTGGCGCCCGCAGCCTCTCGCCGGAGGTTTATACGCCCCGAGGCGGTTCCGGGAAAGGCTCCGCTCACGAGGGTCGGGGAAACTCCCGCCGCCGCCGCCGCCGCCGCCCGGCCCCCTTTCCAGGCCGGCCTCCTGGGGGCGGCGAGGGGCTGCGCTCGTCACGGAGCCGGGTCAGGTGCCGTCCGACTCAGCGCCCCTTCGCCGCCTTCCGAGAGGCTTTCCGACCCGTTTTCCCTTCTGCTCCCCCGCGGGCACCAGGCGCCCCCACTCAGGATCATTTAGGAAAGCGGATCCTCGGGGAAGCCCCGTCTCGGTCGCCAGAAGGCGAAACCGATTCCTCCAGGGGGCCTTGGGCGAAGAATCCCAGGATATCCCTGTCCTGGACAGCTCTAAAAAAGGAGTGAAGCAGCCTTTCGGCCCCTCCATAGTTGTGGGCGAGGAGCCGAGCCCGCCCAGCGCTGAGGGCGCCCCAAGCAGATCGGCCTCCCGCAAGCGCGCCCTCTGCGCCCCGGTCCCGCGGGCGGCAGCTGGGCATCTGCCAGGGGCGCCTGGTTTGCCCCCCCCCCCGTTGTGCATGACGTGTATATGATGTCACGCAACACTGCCCCCCCCATGTGGCCCAGGTTGAGGTGTCGACCACACCTGGATCGCACACCCCTCATTCAGTGGCGGCGGTGGAGTTTTTGTTAATTTGTGGGGAGGGGGAGCCCCGAAGGGGAGTCACTGCTGGGCACTTGCCCCCCATCTGCACCCAGAGGGTCTGTGGAGCCAACTGACTTCTACTCAAAAGGAAACTCACAGAAATAAAGGGACCTAATTTAGCCATGTTCATTAATGTCAATGGGTTTGTGCTGAGTATGACTAACACTGAATGCAAACCCCCCCCCCCCACTTTGAGAGCCTGAGGTGGCAGGAGAGAGGAATAGGCTGCCTTTCTTGTTTTGCTTTTTGACTGCTGCTAACAAATTACTTTCCAAGGAAGAGAGCTTGGGGAATGCGCTGCTTCCGCCCACCCACAAAACAGCAGAATATATTGGCACGGGAAGAGGTGTTACTCACTGTCTACTGTCTACCAGTGGCTACTTTCCTTGCAAGGCACTAGAGTAAAGGTGCATTTTTCTCAGGGGAGCAAGTGGGGCTTTTCCCCCAAAGACAGTGTGGGGGGAAATGCAAAGTTTGCATGGGGGGGCATCAGTCCCCTGGATAGATCTGCAGATCCGTATGTCCCTTTGCCTGCCAGAGGCTGGTTGATTTTAGGCAGTTCCCCACTGGCCTGACGCAGTGGGGAACTTTCCACCTAGGCGGTGACAGTGCTGGAGCCCTCTTCTTGCAGCGCCCTCCCCACACTGGCACTCAGCATCCAGACTCTTGCTGGCTGCGGGAGGGCGAGCAGCAGCAGCAGCTGTTTCTGTCACTCACACCCCATGTTCCCTTCTTCCCTGGCCCTGCCTGCCAGTCACACTGCTACTGCTTTGGCCTGGAGGTTACTAATGGTACAAAACAAATAAACCTGGACATTTTGCAAAATTTTAAAAATCTGCCCGGATAGCCCTTTTAAACCGTAAAAAGAGGATGTACCCGATAAAAACCGGACATATGACAACTCTACCCCAAAGGGGTGATTTCTAGTAAGTGGCATTCAGAAGCATAGAGCTTTGTTAGTTACAGATAGTTTGTTCTTGTTGTTTAGTCGTGTCTGACACTTCGTGACCCCCTGGACCAGAGCACGCCAGGCACTCCTGTCTTCCACTGCCTCCCCCAGTTTGGTCAAACTCATGTTGGTAGCTTCGAGAACACTGTCCCACCATCTCATCCTCTGTCGTCCCCTTCTCCTTGTGCCCTCCATCTTTCTCAACATCAGGGTCTTTTCCAGGGAGTCTTCTCATGAGTCACAGATAGACTTTGTTTTAAAAAAAATGGTAAAGGTAAAGGACCCCTGACAGTTAAATCCAGTTTTGAACAACTGGGGTTGCGGCACTCATCTCACTTTACTGGCCAAGGGAACTGACATTTGTCCGCAGACAGTTTTTCCAGGTCATGTGGCCAGCATGACTAAGCCGCTTCTGGCACAATGGAACTCCGAGACCAGAGCAGTGCACGGAAATGCCATTTATCTTCCCGCCGGAGTGGTACCTATTTATCTACTTGCACTTTGACGTGCTTTCGAACTGCTAGGTTGGCAGGAGCTAGGACCAAGTAATGGGAGCTCACCCCATCGTGGGGATTCAAACCGCCGCCCTTCCGATCGGCAAGCCCTAGGCTCAGTGGTTTAGACCACAGCGCCACCCAAGTCCCTAGACTTTGTTAGTCACAGTTAATAGACCATGGTGCCTGAATCCTTTCTAATTCCTGGGGTATTGAATCCAGGGTTAAAATCTAATGAAGGAGTAAATTGTTGAAGTAGCCAGGCCAGCTTTTTGGTAATGGTCTTCTAGTATAACAAAGGATGTTACATATAGCATATATTCAACACAAAAAACAGTGACAATTTGTGGTTGACAAAGGGCAGCTGGACATCTAAAGGGCCCCATTACCTTCAGGAGCTCCTTGGGGCCTCATCAAACTTAAATCCGGCCCTCGTGTAGTTCGCAGCAGCAGCAAGCACTGCAGTGGTTCTGGTGCAAGTTGCAGGGAGCCTGCATGGGGACAGCAGGGATTTCTGCTGGCTACTTTGAAGAGCTGGGCTTTCCTGGCCAATGAACAGGCCGGCTCTCCTGCCTTGGACAGTCTCTTTTCCTGGAACACAGCTGGAGCTGCTGCTGCTGTAATCCAAAGTGAGCTGTGAGGCAGTGGGGGAGGGAGACAGTGCTCCTGAAGGTAGGAGTCTATCAATTGATGAAGATAATCATCCAAATGTCATAGACCAAATGGAGCAAACAGCACGCAGATCTAGTGGTGGGAGGAAAAAATCCTTAAATAAGAGACATGGGGGAATGATTAATGGACTTCAATGTCTGTACACTAATGCGCAAAGCATGGGAAATAAACAAGATGAGCTTGAGCTCTTGGTACAGCAAACTAAATATGACATAATAGGCATCACTGAAACCTGGTGGGATAAATCCCACGATTGGAATGTAATAATGGAGGGATACAATCTATTTCAGAGAAACAGACCAGACAAGAAAGGAGGAGGAGTGGCGTTATATGTCAGGGATGTGTATACCTGTGAAGAGATCCAAGATTTAGAACCTCAAAGCCAAAGTGAGAGCATTTGGGTCAAAATTAAGGGAGAGAAGAATAACAGAGACCTCATTGTGGGAGTTTACTATAGATCCCCAAGCCAAACAGAGGACATAGATGATGCCTTCCTGGAACAGATGGCCAAGCATGCAAAAGGAAGGGAGATAGTAGTAATGGGGGACTTCAATTACCCGGATATTTGTTGGATGTCAAACTCAGCCAAGAGCATAAAGTCAAACAGATTCCTCACTGGCCTTGCAGACAACTTCATTGTCCAGAAAGTGGGAGAAGCAACAAGAGGAACAGCCATTTTAGATCTGGTCCTAACCAATGTTGATGACCTGGTTAGTGGGGTAGAAGTGGAAGGATCATTAGGCGCGAGTGATCATGCTCTTCTGAAGTTTACTATACAGCGGAGACTTCCGGGTTAGAGCCATCGACAAATGGCGGATTCCCTCCGAGCTCCGGAGATGGGTCCAGCCGCGGCGACGACGCGGGGACCCTCAGAAACCACAGGCGCTGAAGCCTGTGGACCTGGTGACTCGGCGGGCACCATTTGCGCCCCCCCGACCCACGAAGGAGCCTTTTTAAAGGCTTCGGAACGGGGGACGGGGAGCGGCGCGGTGCTGAGAGTCGACTGCTTCTCCTACGGAGTGAAGCCGCGTGCCATGGTCGGAGAGCGCTGACTTCTTTCTTTGAACATTTGGACTAAAAGTAACAACCCGTGAGTAATACGGAAATCGGATTTATAAAAGGAAATATTTTTGGATTAGGCACGATCGGGGAAGGCGCAAATAGGAAGTCCGTCTCCCCGCCTTGTAAACAACTTAAAGCAAGGACTAGATAACTAAGGTCGAGAGAACATCTTCTTCTTTAGTGGATAAAAGTTATTAATTTCACGTTTTGGCAGTACAAGCAATCTTGCTGGAGGATAAGAGTTAATTTTGCTGAAGTGCCACCTCCCCCGGGACCCGGGAGTGATCCGTGAGAGAGCCTGTTGAGGAGACATAGAAGATTTTGACAGCTGTCAAACTAGCTGTCAAAGCTGGGGGGGGAAGAGAACTTTGTTTCTGTTGTCTTTGCTGGTTATATTTGTTACAATTTGGTTATAAATTGTTGAAAACAAAGAAGAACTGAAACAAGTTAACTTGACTTTTGGGTTGGAATTGGAAGGAATACTAAGTAACCAGAATCCCTCTAGAGGGGGTTCAGGGACATTACAAGAATGGCTGCAGGTGGAAAAATACAGGCTGAACTGGACAGGGCTTTTTTTCTCTTGGGAAATTTACAAGGTCAAAGTGATGTTTTGGCTACAAGTGTTACAACCCTGAATGCAACAGTAAATAAACTCACTGAACTTGGAAAGGACTTGACTCAAAAAGCCCATGCAGCTGAACAAGAAAAGAAATCTGAGAAACTTGAGAAAGTGGAAAAAGAGATACATGCTGATCTGGAGGAAAAGGAGGGAGGAGTTGCAATGCTGCAGATGATAAAGGAGAGCCAGAGGCCTGTTAAGATGGATACAAAGGAAAATAAGAACTGGATGATGAAAATCTGGTTTGAATTGGAGAATGAAGAATGGAGAGATCTCCTTATGTGGAGATCTGAAGACCTATGGATTACAAATCTGATCAAGGTGGAAGTTGGAGCTTTTGGGTCAGTTGGACTTAAAAGGATTAAGAAACAAGATTTGAGCTCCACTTTTAAATATGGAGGTCTGGCTGGAAGAAAAATGGACATTATTGGGAGAGAGCTTCTCCGAGATTTGGTGTTTGATACAAAGGACTATCAAAAAAACCGGCAGAGAGGAATTGAGAGAGAATTAAGAGCCTCGGACGTGAGGTCTCCAGGCTGATAGCAGATAGACTGATGGACATTCGTTGGGGATCGAAACCGGGAAAGGGGGGGTGGGGTTTGGGAATCCAAAGGGTGTACAATTATATTCTGATTTTTTTTATTCTGTTTTGTTATGAGTATAAAAATGGGGAATTCGTGGAAGGGAATTGGGGTCGACCTTAGAAAAAGATTTTAAGAATGAGTACTGATGTATAAAGACTGATGTTTATAAGTTAAAATTGATTATATAAAATGAACTAAATATAATAATGAACTAAATATAATAAGGTTAAAAATTGGGGACAAGAACTTGTTGAACTAATAATTGGAATTGGAATACAAGAAGGGGAGGTGTGGGGAAGTCATGGAAATATGGTATTGAAAATAAGGATTGTAAACGGTGAATGTTTTTAAATTTTTTGTGTTTTTTTTTTCTTTTCCTGGATTTTTTGAAAATTTCAATAAATTTTT